CCTGACTTTGCTTGTCAAATAGTTTGTCCTGCTAGAGATGTGAACGTATGGACTGGAGAAAAGTGGGGATGGAAGGTCACCTCCCTGCCCAGTTCCCCTTGCCAAACAAGACAGAAAACTCCCCCTTTTTCATTTCCCCAAAGCCTTCTTATACTTCTCTAATCGTGTCTAAACTTTCGTGTTCATTTGCTTTTCTTTAAAAGAACAATGACCAGCAGATCCCAAAACTCAGCCCAACCTCCTACCTACAGGTAAAGGTAAAGGTTCCCCTTGACAATTTTTGGCCAGTCGTGTTCGACTCTAGGGGGCGGTGCTCATCCCCATTTCCAAGCCATAGAGCCAGCATTTGTCCGAAGACAATCTTCCATGGTCACATGGCCAGTGCGACTTAGACACGGAACGCTGTTACCTTCCCACCGAAGTGGTCCCTATTTATCTACTTGCATTTGCATGCTTTCGAACCGCTAGGTTGGCGGGAGCTGGGACAAGCAACAGGAGCTCACTCCGTCGTGTGGATTCGATCTTACGACTGCTTGGTCTTCTGACCCTGCAGCACAGGCTTCTACAGTTTAGCCTGCAGCGCCACCACATCCCTACAGATATGGTGAAAATGGGAGTCTATTAAAGTAACTCCTGTTTTAAGACCTGCATTCAAATTGGGAATATCACAGCCTTTTTAAAAAATGGCACTATGCAGGTGACTGCAATGTGACCATAATGTTCTCATTCTTTCTGAAATAAAAATCCTGCAGTAATAAATTGAAATGCTGGTTGCCTGACACCTAGTGACCACTAATGGAGATAAATCCTTGTTTATTTGTACCCTGAGGCAGCTGATTTGAGCCTCAGAAAGGTTCTATGTAATTACTTTGCTGAGAAGTTACAAACTTTTGGTGATCAGAAAGTACTAAATTGCAAAGTTGTATTTTATCCAAGTATGTTTCTATATCAGCCATTTTTTTCTAGAATGTACATCATGTGTCCGATCCCTTATTAGAGAGAATCTAGACACCACTGCTGCAAAACCATTGTATCCCAGTGTTGTCCTCCTGTCTGTGGTCTGTAAGTATTTTTTCTCAGCTTAAGCACAATTGCAGCATCTGCCTTTTTTGTGTGTAGACTGGCAAGGTGAAATGGATGTTTCTGAAATATAGAATTACCTAGGCAGACAAATAGGAAAGTCATTTTTCAAAGCCTTGCTTTTCTGAATTAGTAGCTCAGCACTTCCACTGTGCCCACTGTAATCGATCATAACCTGAACATGAGCCAACAAAAGAGGCAAACATTACAGTATTTTTAATTGTACTAATAGAACCAGTTTTCATGTACAGAAGTAAACCTGACAGGCAGTTGAGTTTTACATCAGAATTGGTAACAGGGGAGTGTCTTTCCCACAGTGAGGAACATCAGCTTGTTTATAGATTGTGGAAAAAGCCATAGGGCACACATAGGTCTTTCCTCTAATATATGGAAATAGAACTCAGGAGGAATTGCCGGGGTTGCTGCTGTCCTATTGCATTTGCTGTCTGAGGCAGTTTGCCTTACTCAGCAGAGTAGATGGAGTGATGTTCTCTGCTTTGTTTTTAATAGCTTAATGCTAAGTCAGCATTGGTTGTCTTGACATTCTAATAAATGGCTAAATGCAACCATATTCTGTTTCCAGTTAATGAAGTAGAAACACAAGGGTTTGATTTTGTGAATGTTGTCTTCATATTTGTGCAAGGCAAGAGCACCAGTACGTTGCACATTATTCCCTGATGAATGTGAACAAGCATATATTTTTAAATAACTGTTGTTTTAAAATAGATAACTGTTTTCTTTGTTTTGGCTGAAGTCAGAAAACTACTAGTTTTCTAGAGCCAAATGAGCTGCTAGCACTTTAATTGATTCAGCCTACAAGTTCTGAATGAGAGGCTAGAGTCCAAAACACAAATTGCTACGAACTTGCTGGACACACTCCAGGGGCTTGTCACAATGAAGGTTTTTCACATAGCTGAGCCTTATTAAATGCCTGCACAATTGAGAGTTTTGTATTCCTCTAGGTGAAAACAACTTAACTAATGATATATCATTGAAGAAAAGAACGCAGCTCAGAAGATATGTTGAAATAAATATGAAAGGTGTGCTTGTTAACTATTTCTCAGAACATTAAGACAACAAACGTTTAGTAACATGCATTACTGAAAGCAAGGAGAACATTTTACCATGGCATATTTTGTTTAAAAAACAAAGGGTGTACTTTTAGCAGCCTGTTCTCACTACTGATGCATGGGCAGCTAAGCTCATCAGCACTTGCAGAGCAGAACAGAATGCAATTCATTCAGAACTCTGAATATTAATAGCTATTAATTTGGCACAGCTTTCCCCAGGCTTGTAACTCTGCCTAATCAAGGAAATGGTTCTCAAGAAAATGTGGCAAATAAATTCACCTGTCAAAGAGTAATAAAATATGGTTTGCATAGACCGATATGTCATAAGGGCTTTTGTGGGCTCCCAAAGATTCCAAGAATGCTGTATATATGGGGCAAAGAGAGTACTGTTGTTCATATCCACATAATGGCAGTATAGTTGGAAGTCATATACTTTTAGACCAGATCTCTCTGTACCTTTCAACAGCTGGAAGAGAGGGAGATGGTCCTGTCATCTGTATTTTTATAGCAGATGCCATAGTTTTTTTTAACAATCAGCTTGCATCATACATACAAATGTATTAATGTTCTATTTGTAAGAGGCATAGAGTGCAGCCCTCCTGTTTAAGATGCGGGTGACAACTGGTATCCTTGGGCAGTTGCCTTTGCTTCTTCTTTAAAAAACATTTCTCACCTGATCTTAGTTACTGCTTTACTTTCCCACAACACCTACTGTACAGCATAATCCTGTCCTGTTATGTGTCAGAGACAGCATATATTTGATTATTAGTTGTTGGGAAATATGTGAGAAGGTACTATTAGCAGGACCAGACACTTGCAATGACCACCTCTGATTTACATATATCAAGAAGTCCCAGGTGTGTGCAAGGGTCTCTCATATTTTCTTTGCACTTTTAAGATCCTTTGGTGAGTTATTCTTAATATTAGAAAAATGTTGATGTTCATCTTATTTCAAAGTAACTATGTAGGAACCTTTCTGTGCCTAGTTCCTTCATAAATGTACTGGATTAGCAACTGAAGTTGATTTGTTTGTTTGTACCTATTTGGGAGAAAGGTGGCAACCAATCTGTGGAGGAAAGTCTGAAAAGGGTTTTTCCTTCTTGTTAAGAATGTAAGCCTAAGAGTCTTTTATAGCCACGATAGTAGTTGCTAAAGCCAGGACTAGTGGTTGTATAACAAAGGATATATTGCATTTAATCCTACCTGACAGTGTTGAAAAGTGCAAACTTATCAGTATGTCATACCAGGGCATAGGAAAAAATGGCCTCTCCCAAAGAATTCCTACTCACCTCCCCTATAATGTGCCACAAATTCATAGGGATGACCAGTTTAACTACTGCTATGAAAATCCTCTTTCTAGTTAGTAAGAGAGTTTTCTATTAAAATATGAAAAAAGCAGGGCCTGATCAGAATTGTCTCCCCTCACTTGCTCTTAGAACACTGTAGAACCAATTCTACTCAAAACTGGAATCCAAGGAGGGGGGGGAGGAGGAAGAAGCATCTGAAGCTGTATAAACACCTCCCGATGAACTGCTATTTAGAAGCAACATAATTAGGAAATAGAAGGAAGGGCAACCCACTAACAAAAAGAACAGACAGGTGGCGAAAATTTGTAGGAAGAATGTCAAGAGGGCTAACATTCAGAATCAGCTTAAGCTTGCAAGAGATGGAAAAAATAACAAGAAATGTGTGGGGTTTTGAAAACTGTTTTAAGTAAGCAGACAAAATAACACATGGGAGGTCTGCAGTTTGAAAAAGATGGAGGACAGTTAATAGCTGGAATGTAAAGGTAGAACTGCTGAATCCCTACTTTGCTTCAGTCATCTTTCGCAAGTAAAATTGTGCTTGTCGTAGCAAAAACTGAACAAATGGAGAAGGGGAAGTTTTGCACCTTAAGGTAAACAAAGAGGTAGTATGGGAACATGTCTGCAAAGCACAACACTAGAGAACGCTGAGAGTGCCTTGTTCAAACAGTGGCTGAACTCCTCAACATTACACTGCACAAAGAAGATGCAACAACTCTCCCCTCCCTCTGCCTTTCTACAGCTAGTTGAAAGATGATTATTCCATGAGATTTTGCTTTTTAGCAACCAGTCAGACCTGAGTCTGGAGAGAATAAAGCAGAATTATCCTGAAGTGGGAAACGATTCCCTGTTTTGAAATAAGTCCCTGTTAAATTGTTCCAGTTGAAAAATAACCAGTGGGTTACTTGTTACAATTTGAAATGCAACTTGTAAAATGTTACTTGTTGCATTGCTTCACTATTAAATTCATTTTTAAAATATCTCATTGTTCCCATACTACCTCTTTGCTTACCTTAAGGTGCAAAACCCAGGGTCCATAAAATGTGAAAAATTCCTGCCAAAATGCTTGTTGGCAGTAACGAGGGCATATGGCTCGTTACACCCATAAAGCAGCTTTGTTCCTACCCTTCAGGCTACATTCAACACGCAACTTTTAAACTCCTCGTTACCCAGAGTCGAAAAATACAAGCAACGACGTTACTTGCATTGCGTTACTTCCACACTGCTTCACGTCAGGGCACCTGTAACTATTTGCAAAAGACCACCCTGTGCAAGCCGTAGGTCATAGGGAGCGCAGTCTTAAATCACTACCAAGGTACCACAGGTTTCACCCTATTTCCACAGCAACAGCACCCGGTCTAGCCACAGTAGAGTGTCAGCAAGGCCCTATTCCTCCCTCCTCCGTTGCTATAGCGACGGTAGGAAGGTCCCACCACTCCGTGCTCCGGCGGCGGCCTTTGGCGGTCGAGCCACCAAAACCCCTCCTCTGCTTCCTCGGCCAGGTTCAGAGGACGCCCACCGTTAATCCCACCCCCGGCCTGTCGCGGGTGGTGATGGGAGTTCCAAGATGGCGGCGCCCGTTTGACAACCTGGGGGAAGATCGTGCTGTAGCTGCTCCGGGTTCTGTCTCGCCCTCCAGAGAGAGAGAGAGACACGGGGAGGAGCCGCTGGAGCCTAGGCCCGCAGCCGATCGCCCTTTCCTGTGTCACTCAGGTCCGTGAATCCCCGAGTCCTCTTCGCGGCTCACTCCTCGCAGTTGTGTGTTCCCGCCTTCCCTCCACATCAGCCAGGCAAGCAAGCGGTAGCTTCGCCTTCACGCTGGAAGCACCAGAGCTCATAGGCATATATTGATCCGGAATAGCAGCGATCTGGCACCAGAGCTCATAGGCATAGCCCTTAGTCTGCATATATTGATCCGGAATAGCAGCGATCTGTGCTTTGCTGCTGTGACCTCACAGCTGTCGCTGAAGTGGAATAAAGTGAATTTTACTGCCATGCATTGGACATTCCTTGGTGGAATTTTCTGCCTTGTGTACTGAAATAACTGGACTAGCTTTGGGTGCAATATGTGTGTCGATTCGGAGGGTGATTGGGTGCCTTTTTCCACTCTGCCTTAGGCCACAAAGTGCGATAAACCTGCTTAGTGTTTCTTCTTACAATTTATCCTATCAACTGCTTGCTCCCAGTTATTTGGCACTACAATTTACGTTAATATACTGTACTCAGTTGAAACATTTTCAAAACTCGGTGTTGGTTGATCCTTTCAAGTGCATCAAACAGATATGGACACATCTGATCTTAGTTCAAATACTTCATCATAAGCTATAGTATTGTTAGGTTGCCTCAGCTACAGTATCCTAGCTTTCATTGGGTGATGAAACAAATGTAGACTGTAGCCAAATTAATAAGTATTATATAGTGGTGTGTGCATGCTGTAATGTCTCATTAGAACCATTTCATATTGTGCTTTTTGTTTTGCTTCAGAAATAATGTTGATATTTAGAACTCATGTCGAACATCTATGAAGAGAGAGTAACGATGATTGCAGCAGGGGATTTGCAGGAGTTTGTCCCTTTTGGCCGTGACCACTGCAAACACCATCCTAATGCGCTGAACCTGCAACTTCGGCAGCTGCAACCAGCCTCGGAACTGTGGTCATCGGATGGAGCAGCTGGTTTGGTGGGGTCCCTTCAGGAAGTTACAATCCATGAGAAACATAAGGTTAGTTGTGCTAGATGTGCTTTCTCAGCTCACATTTGAACCTCATCTGCATACATAAGCAAGTAAAGATGAGGAGTGTGTGGCTGAAGAGTGAATAATTTTTCATATCTTGGGCTGTTAATTTTCCCCCCAAGTATTTACATCTGGTTGCTGTCAAAGACTGAATGCTAGGCTAAATGGCTACTGAGCACTCAGAACTATGTGTGTGTAAGCAAGGATAGTAAACTGATGGACTTCCTTTTCCAGTTTATATGTTTCTTTAGGGTTATGCACTTAACAACTGCATTAATAAATTTAGAGCATAATTAGACTACTAAACTTAAAGCATATTTTCTGCTTTGTATATTTACACAGCATATTTTTGAATCACTCACTTGGATTTCCTTGAAATACTCTTCAGCAGAGTATTTCCTTTGGAAAAGAGACTCAGTATGATATTTTACGCAGTTATTTGAAATCAATGTTTATTAATGACACGCTGAAATGAATGGGAAGTTCCAACCAAATCCAGTGTGTTGGATGAATGAAATTATTCTGCAAGATTCTGCCCACAGACAACAACTGCCATTTTCTTCACTATTTTTATCTGTTTTTTAAAGATATATAGGTTTTGTGCAAATCGGCCAACTGATTTAATGGTTTTAATGTCATTTTGTGTAGTTGAGTACCTTAGTTTAAAATAATAGGCAGTGTTTGGGGAAAAATAATTTACTAAGTAGACCAGTTACTTAACTGTGTGCCTTAGGACACTTTTTGTTAAATTCTGTATTTAACTTTTTAAAAGCATCTTTGTATCCAACTCTTCAGGGAATGTGTGTGTGTGTCTACACACACGCACGCGCGCGCGTGCACACACACACACACATGCACACACACAAAATTTTTGCTGTATTCTCAAAGGCTTTCACAGCCAGGATCTGCTGGCTGTTGTGGGTTTTTTGGGCTCTTTGGCCATGTTCTGAACGTTGTTCTTCCTGACATTTTGCCAGTCTCTGTGGCCGGCATCTTCAGAGGAACAGGAGTAGGAACTCTGTCCATGCTCTGTTGAAATCAGCGTTTATTAATGACACACTGAAATACAGCACTGAAATGAATGGGAAGTGCAACAGAGCATGGACAGAGTTCCTATTCCTGTTCCTCTGAAGATGCCGGCCACAGAGACTGGTGAAACGTCAGGAAGAACAACCTTGAGAACACGGCCAAAGAGCCTGAAAAGGCCACAACAACCAATATTTTTGCTATTAATCTTTTCTCCTCTTTCAGGAAAATTGGCATTTAAGGAAGGGCATCAGTGATGTTGGTGAAGATGTGGAGTATGATGAAGAATTGTATGTGGCCGGCAACATGGTTATTTGGAGCAAAGGAAGCAAAAGCCAGGCTGCTGCAGTTTATAAAGCATTTACTGTTGACAGCCCTGTTCTACAGGTATTAAACTTAGTCAAATATATTTGATCTTGTTTAGCATTATATTGCTAAGGAAGTGCGAAGTGCTGCACAGTGAGCTCCTCTCCCAAGTTCACCTACCCAGTGATTGGATCTGAGCTGATGCTAAATGGTTGAAAAAGTAGATTTTGAGATTGAGAAGGATAATTGTATGGTGTATGTTCTATTTTTGATTTGTGTTTGATTTTGCTTAATGTTGAGTTTATATCCACTATTGATAGTTGTAATTTGACGTATGTCTTTATTTTGTGTCTTAATTTTTTTTATTGTAAATCACCCAGAATGGCCTTGTAGCCAGATGGGCAGTATAGAAGTCGAACAAACAAATAAATCCATGAAGCTCTCCTCCAACACCATGTTTTAAATTAATCATTTTTTCCCTGTCCCAGTTCCATATCCATACATAGTAATGGGAAATATAATTATGTGAATGATTTTGGGGTGTGATCACATGTGCACATAGCTCACATTTTGGATCACTTGTGACATGCTCTGGTGCAAACTATTTCCTATTATATTGACGAATGGGCAATAGCTTTCTAGACCAACTCTGATCCGTGGCCAAGCTGGATCTTTTTAGTCCAGCAGTAGGGCTACTACTTTTTGGTGCTGGGCTGGAACAATTCTCCAATGGACAGAAGAGAGGTTGCTTCTAGCAAAGTAACCCTTTCTGATGTGATCAGATACCAACCTTTCTCTGATTGCACCCTTAGTCTTGGTCTCTAATAACATATCCTTGTTATGGTTATGTGCCATCATGTTACTTCCAATTTATGGGAACCTACAATTTAGTGACCTCCAAAATGTGAACTTGTGGCAGGGCTTATATTCTATTTCAAAATCATGGAGTAGGAAATGCTCTTTTTCAGGTTGTAACCACTTTCATTGCATCTGCTTCTCCCATCAACCTGTGGCCATATTCAGTGCATTAGAACAGCAGTCCCCAGCTGGGGAGAGCGAGCTCCATGCATGGGGGGCAGGGGTGCTCACACGGTGGGTGTGTCGTGCTCGCGGGGCATGTGTCATGCAGTGAGCATGTGTGACATGCCCAATGCAAGCGTGACATGCCCAATGTGGGAGTGACACGCCCCGATACAAGAGTGACACGCCCACTGCGCAGGCATGCAGTTGTGGGGACGATCCATATCCGTGGCCCAGTTCCGGCAAGCGCACAGACTGGCGCCGGGCCGCGGACCGGGGGTTGATGACCCTTGCATTAGAAAATCCAGTACCTACTGATGTTTCTTTCTTCTGTGTGGATGGTTGAAACCAGACTTGACACTATTTTTTTTATTTCAGGCCTTATGGTGTGATTTTTCTATACCCCAAGATAAGTCTGGTAAAACGGAAGGTGAGTTTAATTTTTATGTTATGTAGTTTTAGGTCTGGCATTTGACAGGTTCCATTCCTTTCAAAATATTGCCACTTCTGAAACCAAATGCATGGAATAAAAGTCGGTTTTGTGCATTCTGTAGTTGAATCTTAATTAAAATGTTATTGCTTCCCTAATTTCAGATCGCAGTGAGGTTGTTGAAAAGTGTGTCTGCATATTACAGAGCTCTTGCATAAATATCCACAGCATTGAAGGAAAGGATTACACTGCTTCGTTGCCCTTCCAGGTACAGTATATGTGTCTGTAAAAAAGAAAGTTTCTTGTTCCTCTGATATATTTTACCTTTGGTCTGTTGTGGCTGGAAACCTACTGATGGCCACATCATACTTTGCTACGTATTTGAAGTAGCAAATATATTTTTTCTATAGTGCAATGTCCTAGTAGTTGATCTTGGCGTTATCACCAACCTTTTCAAATCCAAATGCTGCTACTTGTTATTATTTCGGTATCTCAGTTATGAATATCTTTCTAGTAAAAAGAAACTACCTTCATCTATTACAGGTTGCAAATGTCTGGCCAACAAAATATGGTTTGTTGTTTGAACGTAGCAGTTCTTCGCATGAAGTGCCTCTAAGCCCAACCAGGTAAGGTAGCATGGATGCTGACATCTTCTCCAACACCAGAAGAAAGATAATCCGCTATCACCAGTAAATGTAAACATTTTTAGGTCTTCTAGCAACAGCAATTTGAATGGCTCACTTAGACTCTTATTTTGCTGTGTGACTATTCAGTTTGCCCGAGGTCACAGAAGTGGAAAGACATATAAACCCATCAGTCATACTGACTCTGGGTCATCTCATGGGTTCCTCTCCTGAGAAGCACAGTGGAGATTTGAACTTCTGCTCCTTGACTCTGTCACCGTGTAGCTTCTGATTGTTCACCACCACCACCACCACCATAATCCCCGTAGTCATTGGGGCCTTGGGAACAATATCAAGAAATTTCACACAGTACTATAAGCAGTTGCAGATCTCAGAGTCAAACCATCAGAGCCACAAAAAAAGCAATATTAAGAACAGCATACATACTGCGTTGACATTTAACAGATTCTTAGGTTTTTGATTAAAACTTGTATCTATTATATAATACGAGCCAATGTTTATACAATTTTGGCTGTGCCTGGAGCTTTGGAACAACAACAACAACAACAACAACAACAACAACAACAACAACAACAACAACAACAACAACAACAATATGCTTTCAAGTCAATTCTAATTTACAGAGACTCTTTCCAAGGTTTTCCAAGTAGAGAGTAGTTCACCATTCCCTTCTTCCAGAGGTACCGTAGCACTTGCCCAAGGCTACATAGGGTGGCTGTTCTCCTGGGAACAGGGATGAATTTGATTTAAATCAAATCAATTTAAATCACAATTTAAATTTTAAAAAATCAGTTTTTTGATGGTTTAAATTTTAAAGTATCAAAATTTAAAATTAAAAGTAGCAAATCCCTTTGCTACTGCAACTAGGTAGCAAAGTATGATGTGGCTATAGATAGGTTTCCAGCCACAACAAAACAAAAGTAAAATATATCTGAGGAACAAGAAATCAATTTTTAAAATTTAATATTGTGCTTTAAATTGATTTTTTAAAAAAAAAATAATTGATTTTTATCCATCCTGTCTGGGAGGCACAATGGGGAATGGAACACCCAAACTTAGGCTCCTCAGCCAGATACCTAACTTAGTGAACTATGTGTACCTGCTCTTTATTGTAGTGCAAACATATATAATGTGCAACATGGCTGGGGAGCCAGTGGCCCTCCAGTAATTGTTAGACTTTCGCTGTCATTAGGTGTAGCCGGAATTGCTCATGGTGTGAAATAATGGCAGTTGCCCTTTCTCAGCTTTTTGGGTGATTGTCTTTTCCCCATCACTAGTCTGTTGCTACTCTGTTCTCCAGTTTTCCAAATTGTAGCATGAAAGATTGGTAGTCAGGCAATCATTCCTCATGTTTTTGTCTTTTTCCTTTTTCAGAGAACCTTTGCCCACCATGTTCAGCATGCTTCACCCATTAGATGAAATAACGCCTATGATTTGCAAGGCTGCAGGTAAACTTACATCGTGCTTCGGAGTGCTGGTTGATTTTAGGTGATAGTTATTACTTTGGAGGTGAACGTTTGCAAACTGCTGGTCTTAGTTCCGAAGCTATGTGATGGATTAGAAATTCTGTTTCTAGATTACTCATCCTTCCCCAAAATTGTGCCTGGCAGATGCTATGGACTACAACTCCTTAGCAGAGGGGAGTGGAGGGGATGATGGGAGTTACAGTTCGTGGCATCTGGACCATTACAGGATGGGAAGTGATTATGCAAAGACAATTTGCCACATTGGGTCCTTTTAAGGAGAAAGGCAGGGTAAAAAGGACGGACGGACGGACGGACGGACTTACTTACTTACTTACTTACTTACTTACTTACTTACTTACTTGTGTGGTCCAATCCTGCAGAGATTTCCAGAGTGCAGAAAGAATGGATGGATGGATTGACTTGTGTGGTCCACTCCTGGGACTATAAGTTCAAATAGAAAACTAGGGTGGGCTGCACCTCATAGGAAGCATACAGAGATTTCCAGAGTGCAGAAAGAAAGACAGATTAATTTTATTTGTAAGCTTATCCCATTTGTAAAATATTTTAATATGCATACGCATCAAGTAAGTCAAAGTTGCAAAGTTGATTAGATTGCTCTAAGCAAGCTCAAGTGTTCCCAAATGGCCTATGCCGGTTCCCTCCCTGCTGCTAGTGTAGCAGCACCCTGAGCGTGGTCTGTCCCCATTCAAACCAGATGTTGTTCCTAGTGAGAGGTGAATGTCCTGTTCCACCTCAATAGACGGATGCTTTATTGTCAGGGGAAAATGATAGGTTCAGTGCGCCTTTAATGAATCAGAGGACCTGCCTCTGTTGTCACATTTGTACAGTTCTGCATTTCCCTGCTTCAGTTTTCATTAATGGATTTGTTGCTCAGGTTTCAGGCCAGGGTGGATTAAAAATCAATGATTTTTAAAAATCAGATTGATTTAAATTACAATTTAAATCACAATTTAATTTTTTTTTTAAATCATTTTTTAAAATTTTAATTCCAAAACAAATCTGATTTTTAAAATTTAAATTGTATCATGATATCAGTTTGATTTAAATCAAATCCACCCTGTTTCAGGCACAGGGATTTTGTGTCTCACCTGGTCCTTCTTCTACTTAGCAGGTTTGTTTGGCTCTACTAGAGTCCAGTATGTTGCTGACTACTCAATGAGAATTGTTTTTCTCAACGCTGAACCTTCCATCCTAATGACATATGATGCCACTCAGAGTTTGCATACAATTTGGGCACTCCGGAGAGTAAAACCAGAGGTGAGCATAAACTCAAGGCCAAACATGAACTCAAAATGACCAGGGCTTGGAAGTGTTACATTTTCGATTAGGTTAGGCATCCTTCAGTCTCGAGAGAGTATGGTAAATTTTGGATTGTGGCTCTCAGAACTGGCTATGCTGGTTTGGGAATTCTTGCTTTCTGGGGGAAAAAAACCTCTTCCAGGTTCTGGATATGGATATGTTGAAAAAAGGAGTTGGTTTGTTGGTCTGTTGCATTGTTTAGAACGGCTTCTGGTTTGTACGCAGTGTAGATATAATTTAATATTGGAAAGCCTCTGGAATCCATACATGTATGTTGAATAAGAAAGGGTCTTCTTGTTGCAGAGATCACAATTTCAGGCACTGACGGTTGCAGCAGAGAAAAGAGCTTTTACTAGAAAGTTTGCATTTGGTGATGCCATCTTTAGAAGTGAGAGGACTGGTTGCAAGAAATCCTGTTTACTATATTTGATAACGTGATACCTGTTCCAGCAAAAGCTGCCATGGAAGAAGCAATTTCTTTTAGTTTCTCTTACTTTGAGGTATCTCTCATCTTAACAACCCTGTGTTGTTGTTTAGTTGTTTAGTCGTGTCCGACTCTTCGTGACCCCATGCACCAGAGCACGCCAGGCCCTCCTGTCCTCTAACAACCCTACAAAGCACAATTGCAAAGACTGTGCCGTAAGGCGTTTCTTAGAGCCAACGTGCATCTGATTGGAAAGATCCAAGATCCGCTCTCCCAATGATGTCTTCTTCTGTTTATAGTTGTTCTGTGGTTGAATTAGATTAAGACACTTAGATCGGCAGATGCATCATTCTGCAGAATGATATTCCATTTTCCAGATCTTGTTGGCATTCCCTACAAAGCCTGTGTTACTGCTCAGTTGGAACGATGTGCACTCACGAAGAAAGAAGATAGTATATTCCTTGCTGCCCCTCTGTATACAGTGGTGCCCTGCATAGCGACGTTAATCCGTTCCAGGATTAACGTCACTATCCGGATTCGTCGCTATGCGGGGGTGAACCCATAGGAACACATTAAACTCCATTTAATGCGTTCCTATTGGGGAAAAACTCACCGCTATGCGGGGAATCCTCCATCCGGCCGCCATTTTGCCACCCGTTAAGCGAGGGCAGGCCGCGAAAACGCTGCGGGCGGCCATTTTGTTGACCCGGTGGCCATTTTGGAACCACTGATCAGCTGTTTGTAAAACATCGCAATGCGAAGATCAGTAAATGAAATGCTTACCGATTATTGCAATGCGATGTTTTCCCTATCTAAAAAAACGCGTCTTTATGCGGATTTGTGATTAAACGGTGCGCTAGTTAAGCGAGGCACCGATCGGTAAGCGAAACGGGTTTGGGATTTTGAATGGGGAAATTGCCTCTTACATTTCAGGTGATGTTCACTAAACGCGTGAAACTGAAATAGCTAAAAGATGCTCCCTAAGCGAGGCACCATTGTACTGCATCTTTGGGTTTGGGATTTTGAATGGGGAAATTGCATTGGGAAGAGCCTCTTACATTTTATGTGATGTTCACTAAATGCATGAAACTGAAATAGCTAAAAGATGCTCCCTATTCCCACCTGGACGAGCAGTTATTTAAATTAGGTACACAGTGCTCATCCGTGGTGTAGGTTAACTCAATACAAGCAAACGAGCTGGTATGATCTACTTCAGTGCACTAGTATGCAACAGTGGGAGCTCTGAAGTAGAGAAAACAATGCTAGGAGATCTGATCTTAGGCACCTCTTGCTACACATACATTGGAGTACTTGAAAATAAGTCTTTTTTGGGCATTAGGTCCCTTGTCTTGAGGTATGTGGTGTCCACATGCTGCCTTGAATCTTAAAAAAAAAGCCTGCTTTTTTCTCTTCTTTTCTGTGCAGGAGCAGAGTGCTGTTTTGAAATTTTCTGATCAGGTTGGAACCCCCCAGCATGTAGCCACCAGCACGTCGTTCACTGCCCACCTTCGGAGTCTGTCGAAGGGTGACTCACCTGTCACGTCTCCCTTCCAGAACTACTCCTCTATTCACAGTCAGAGCAGATCAGTTTCATCTCCCAGCATCCACTCTCGCTCACCGTCCATATCCAACATGGCCGCTCTGAGGTGAGTTTGTCCTCTTGTGCTCTCTCAGTTGTTGATTCTTTAGGGTTATGATCAGAATGGCACTTGCTGCAGACATCTGGATTGTTATAATGTACTGTTACTTACGAGTTTATGGCTTTAATTGAGTGTTGTGTTAGCACCACATTGCTAGTGTGGCAAGGTTTTCATTTCTGTTTTCTCCTCTCTGCAGCTCTCTGTGCTGCTGGAAAACTTGCTCCAGAGCAGCCATTTTTAACCTTTTTTGGCCATAGCCATAAACCCAATGTGAAATAAATAGAGGCTGAATCAGGCTTGTTTATGTCTCATAACGAACCTTATAAGGTGGTGTGTGAAGAATTGTTCCCAGTCTGTGGCCCCTTTCAAATATTCCGGGGGGTCTCCATTGTGAATGGCTGCTCTAGAGGAATCCCCGGTTTAAGTAGAATGAGCTAAGGTGCAGGGGAAATACAGCAGAATGATTTATTATATCCTTCCAAGTTCTATTGAGTGAAGCAGTTCTATCAGCAGAGTAACCCCCATTGGATACTCGCCTGCAGAACGGTGGGCTTGTCTTCATTTGGCAGTCCCTGTTCTAGAGATTCAAGCTCCTTAGTAATTCCAAGCCAGCCAAAGAAATCGCAAAAAGGAGTCCCTCTCACTGACTTTCTGATACCAATAACACTTAATAGATGTACTATGGCTGTAACAGTTTTCCATTCCATGCAGTCTTTGCAGCTTTGTTAAGAGACAGGCCTGGATGCTTGTTTGGACATTGGGTTGAGCGGTTGCAGATAGCATTTTTATCTTCATTATATGCATGGGGGACTTGAGTCTGGAAGGTAGTAGCTTGTCTGAGGTCATCTTGTGGATTGACGGCTGAGCTGAAGTTTTCATCTGGGGATTTCATACGTAGAGTTCTTTTAGTACAGCACAAGTTTTGATCGCCCTGATTCCTCATGCATGGGTCCCTTGCCTTTCTGGTACGCAAGAGGTGCTATGTGAGTTAATCCGCCATGGGGTGAAAACTCTTCCTTTCTTTGCAGTCGGTCTCACTCTCCAGCGTTGGGGGTGCATTCTTTCTCTGGGGTGCAGAGGTTCAACTTCTCCAGCCACGCGCAGTCTCCCAGGAGGCACAGTGCCTGTCATTCGCCCGGCAGTGCCACTGACTCCTTCCTTGCCCCAGAAACTGAACTCATTGTTCCGGAGCTTTGCATAGATCATCTGTGGACGGAGGCCTTCACTACCTCAAGGTTTGTCAGAATCTTATTTATCGAGGAAGTAGTGTTCATAAGACGTTTGCTATAGTTACTTAAAGTTGAGTTATAGGTGCAGATAGTGGCTGCTTTTTGCACGTAGCAATTAATAAGCCGTCATCCCAATCAAGGCTCCTCCGGGTGGCCACTCCAAGGGAGACCCATAAATCCTTTACAAGAGGTAGGGCCTTCTTCGCGGTGGCTCCTACTTCCAGAAGAGCTCTGTCTAACCCCCTCCCTGTTAACATTTAGGAAGCAATTAAAGACATTGCTTTTCAGGAAGATTTTCCACACTGACCCTTGCTGACCATCTCTCTCTCCTCCCCTCACTTTTCCCCTCTCTCCTCTTCTCTCCCCTGCTTTTTCCTCTGTCCGCTCTGGGTTTATATGATTAGTTGATGCCATCTGTTTCTGGAAGAGCTCTGTCTAACCCCCTCCCTGTTAACATTTAGGAAGCAATTAAAGACATTGCTTTTCAGGAAGATTTTCCACACTGACCCTTGCTGACCATCTCTCTCTCCTCCCCTCACTTTTCCCCTCTCTCCTCTTCTCTCCCCTGCTTTTTCCTCTGTCCGCTCTGGGTTTATATGATTAGTTGATGCCATCTGTTTTAAGGGTTATTGTTGCTGCTTTTAATGTTTCTACCTTCATTTTTGTTTTATATGTGTTGTAACTGCCCAGAGTAGTGCCTCGACACCAATGGGAGCTGGATACTAACTGAATAAATAAAATAAACATTAAAAATCGGATTAATAATACAGGGTACCTAGTTTATTCATCCATAATGAGAATAAGCTATGTGATGGTGCCCTCTTATATGTGTTGTAACTCCTCAGAGTAGTGCCTTGACACCATTGGAGCTGGATACTAATTGAATAAATAAAATAAGTATTAAACCAGAGTAATAATACAGGGTACCTTGTTTATTAAATCATAATGAGAATAAGCTATGTGATGGTGCCTGCTGTCCCTCCATTTGCACAGTACGTCTCCCACTTACATGAGTAGGTAAACTCGGGTGGAGAAACTCTAGTGTACAGGCTTAATATTGTATAACCCATGGAGTTACCTCGTCTAGCCATTAGAGATCTCTAGTCAAACCCTTCTCTGGAAGTTAGTGCGAAGGAATTCCTGCAGTCTGTGATCACTGATTTTCTTCCTGACTTGCAATCACAGCATCCCACAATTAGTCATTCTGTTTACCTGTAGAAGAATTCAGGCTGACATTTGGACATGGGGTGATTGTTTTTTTTAGCCCCAACAAACTGAATAAATAAAATAAGATTCATAGGCCACTAACACTGGCTTAATCTGGGCTGTGATCTTGACTTATTTGGGCTTGATAAATCATTATTGCAAGGTTGGACATTGTTATGGTTTACTGGGTTCAGGCCCCCCCTCACTAATCACTTAGTCGCACAGCCTTGTTGATCATGGAGTGGGTGAACCTCAGGAAGTCAAATGTGGTCATGGCTGGGCAACCTGCCTGGTCCCAGTGCTTCCCACGTTCTCATCTATCCTGATTGATCAATACTGTCAGGGAGTTTCAAAAAAATCCACAAGGCTAGGTGCTTAAGATCATTACGCCAACCCTGCAAGGTAGAACTGCCCCCAGACCCACGAACTTCTGGTAGCTGGTCAGGGCAAGATCTGGTTTTATTAACACTATCTTAGCCAAAAGTGAAAAGGGCAAAAAATTCCAAAAAGTTTTCAAATAGTACTTTGAGCAAACAATCAATTTGAGGTTAAGACTGGAAAGGTAACAAGAAACACACCAGAAAATAAGAAGGTTAGCTAATCTACCTAATAGTCACAAATTATTGTAAATTAGTATAGTTTTGAAGCATGCGTAGAGTGTGCCCTTCGCAGCACAGCATAACAGGGCAGCAGTTGAGCTTCTGAGAGATAATCTAAGGCAACTGAAGTAACTTAGGCTTCATATTCTGGACCCTTCTAGATGGTGTACCAATCAGGCTTCAAATTCCCTCACGTGTCCATGAAGGCAAGAGCACTTCCTGTCCCCACTCTTCACAGGGCTAAAGTCATTTTCCAATTAGCCCAATACCAGGGAACAATCTGGCTTGGTCTTGAAGGTCTTCACTGGGAAAAGATAAACTGCAGGTGTTACTCCTTTCTCATTACTTTCAGAGTCTGCCCTCCCCACTTCCCAGCCAGCCATTCCCAGACACGGACAGAAAACCCTGGATTTTCCAGAGGAGTCCATATCTCATGTTCCGAAGTGTCTCTGTTTTTTTTTCACAGACAATATGCTGAAGTATCCCAGGTTACTTTCCTGGTTTACTTATCCAGTCACAGAAGTAAAACGAGCCAACCTTGGCATTTAGTAAGCCAGGCTTCTTGACACTGTAAGGCATGAACACAACCATAATGTTACCAAGGTGTTCTTTTTTTTGTACTATTTTTATTGTTATTTGTGCGACAGCAAGCTAGAAATTGTGTGGAGTGCTACATTTTCAGGGCATTTTGCTCTGCAATTCTGAATGGGATTCTGACATTAGTCTGACATCCTCTACCTACCTTTACTTGTGAGTAAATCCCATTGAAGTCAGTGAATCTTCCTTTCATGTGGACATGGGTAGGACGGGACTGTTAAGGAAATGCACAATAATGAGCAATGTCATACCAACATAAGCAGACGTTAGGCTTCTTATTTTAGTAAACTTGATTTTATTCTCATTTGCTTTGTAATGTGAATGTTGGCAGGGAGAAGAAGTCTCAAGCCTCCAAAGTATTTATTACAACAGATCTTTGTGGGCAGAAGTTTTTGTGCTACTTAGTGGAGTCTCAGCTCCAGTTGCGGTAAGTGTGACTTTTTTGAATTTGTTGCTTCAGATATTGAAACTGTGCAACAAAAGGTAATTGAATATTACACCACAGCCTTCCACACCCTGATGCTGTGCAAGTATGTTGCACAACAACTCCCATCATCCCCAGGCAGTATGACCAGCTCAAATAGCAACACCTACATATTTATTAGTTAAGGTTTAATATTTTGTATGTGTAGAGTACTAAAAGCGTTAAGGAATGTGTAAAAACAAGCAAATCTGAAAATGTACAATGGGCTTAACAAAATGAGGTTTGAACAGCTGTGTGCTAAAGGTCACTGCAGGACACTCAGCTAACTCTCCATCCAAAGCCATCCCAGAGAAAACAAGGTCAGTTTAAAATAACATGACATAACAGATAACCACTTTCCTAGCAAGCTCACACCTGAGCGTGGACATATGAACACTGATAAGAAAACATAACATTGAGAAAGTCCTAGACCATGAAACTCCTAGAGAAGTGTATTTTACCCTGTTTCCCTGAAAATAAGACCTAACCTGAAAATAAGCCTTAGTGTGATTTTTCATGATGCTCGTAATATAAGCCCTACTCCAAAAATAAGCCCTAGTTGAGTGAAACCCCGCCCTCCACCACTGTGCAGCAACCAGAAGACGATGACATGACTTTATTTGAATAAATGTAGATTGTTGTACATGGGGAAAAAGAAAAGTTCCCCTTTAAATAAGCCCTAATGCATTTTTTGGAGGAAAACATAATATAAGACCCTGTCTTATTTTTGGGGAAACACGGTATATTTTTATTGTACCTTTTATGCTTCTGCATATTTGGATTGAAAGTTGACTTAAGTTTGCAGTTTGTTTAATCTTCATAAATATATTGCAACTTAAGTTTAATCTTCATATATTTTAAGCATTGAGCATTGATTTTTCATAGCTGTAAGATTCATTGTTTTTGTAATTGAAATGTGTCTGTAACTTCAATAACTCTCGGAACTTTGTGCATAGAATCAACGTAGATGAATAAAGCTTGTAGGAATAAGCAGGCTGGTGGTGTCTGGAATGAGTTTCTATGCTTGCTTCAACAAGAGGGAAACAAGTAAATTTTCCTATCCAGATGAACATTAATATGATTGGAAAAGTTATCTGATTTCACACTGGAATTAAGCCTTTCAGGGATAAATGTCAGCTGTGATGGACTACTCCAGACTCAAACAACCAAGGGGTGTTACAAAATTTTTATAATGCTCTGAGGTTGTTGTTCATATATCATGCTTTTGACCTTGACATATCAACACTTCTAATACTGGGGCTGTTTCCCACTGGACAGTCTTACATTTTCAGAAACTTAGCACTGTTACTCTGTTCTTATTGTATGAAATACTTCTTATATAAGTTTTTGCTGAGACATTTTTCTTTTCCTACTTCTAGCTGTGTAAAGTTTCAACAGAGTAATGACATGTCACAGTTGATCTTCGGCTCTGTTACCAATATACAGGCAAAGGATGCTGCTCCAGTTGAAGTAAGTGTGGAAGTGTAAAGATGCATATTATACACTCTAATGCTTGCATATATTGTACATTCACAATTGATCCTGTTAGAGGTGATATTTTGGATTTTGTCTAATATTTGTAGATCAGCAGCCTCGTGCTTTTTCTGCAATCCAGAGTCCTAGTGAGCTTTATGTCAATCGGTAGCTTTTCCTCAGATACTAGCTAATTAATTTGCTCTTCTTCTTTTCTTTTTGTATTCACAGAGCATTGACACAATGCTGGTGCTGGAAGAAAATGGAAACTTAGTCCTGTACACAGGAACAGTTCGAGTATGTGCATCCTTTTTTCGGTTTAATAACCTTTGTGTTTTCTTGGGTATTCCGTCCAGTTTATCACCTTATTCTTCTACTTGAGATTCATAGTTGGTCTTATCTTTTAGAGCAGGGGTCCCCAACCCCTGGTCCACAGCCCCATGCCGGTCCGTGACCTTGGCAGCTTTGAGCCATGGAGACAGATCTCCTACCCCCACGCACACCCACCCACCCACACACACACACTGCCTGCCTCCCCACACATGGGCCCTGCCCTCCCCCAACTGGTCTGCACCCACGTGAGTGAGCCCTGCCCATCTGCGAGCGTGGTGGGGTGCCTCCCCACGCATGGGCCCTGCCCTCCCCCAACTGGTCTGCGGTTCAGAAAAGGTTGGGGACCACTGTTTTAGACGATGTTTTAGACTTTTGAAATCAGCTCTCTTGAATCTTGGCTTTGCTCTTCTGTTTTTTAAAAGGTTGGAAAGGTTTTCATACCTGGCTTGCCAGCGCCATCCCTGACGATGTCCAATCAAATGCCTCGCCCGAGCACTCCTCTGGACAGTATTAGCACTCCGTCCAAACCTTTGAACAAGCACCTTGGACCGTTAGATGAGGTAAGAGACGGCGCTTTTCCTTTTGCCAAGACGGCTTGTATTTCCACTCCCCCAGAGGTGAAAGCTTTATAGATGTCACAAAGCCATCCAGGAATTCTGGCTCACAGTTGCCTTCCTGATTTCTGGAATTTTCAATGCTATTCTGCATTTGGGTATTATTCCAGCTTTCTCTTGCTGTTCTTGCTGGCACAGGTGTGCTAAAAAGGCACAGCATTGTGTTGTGTTGAGAAGTGTGTGGAGAGAAATGAAGCTCAGGAAAGCTGACAGGGATGGAGTGGAGGAATTTGCACACAAGATTTGGTTCTCAACATATTTATTTATCATTTTATATATAAAATAGCAACATAAATCAAATAAAAAGATGTTTTAAAAGTCTTACTGTTCTGTTCAGGTGCACCATAGGTTGCACAGCTGTCATACACACTGCTATCATAGACTTTTTGAATGGTTTTTCACCTTAATGGTTTGTAACCAAAACATCTGAAATCCTGCCTTCTCTGATATGCCTGCATGAATTTTGGGGGCCTTTGCAGAGGTCCTGTTTCAAAAGTGAGGTGGGAAGCCAAAGAGAAGCTCTTGTTAGTGACGCTATAGTAGTAAAACAGCCACCACAGAGATGCTCACCTGCTGTGGGAGTTCCAGTGCAGGAGAAGGATTCTACCTGTTGACCAGTGTTCACAAATTGTGTATTTTAAATTCTTAATTTTAATCTGTCATTTGTTTTTTTTAAAAAAATTTAATTGGCTATATTTTAGTGTTTTGTGATAAAATTTGGATAATGTTGGCACGCTCATGCGCATGCACAGATGGCCATGGTGCACTTGCGGGTTATCGGGGTGTGCTTGTGTGTACATGCATGTGGGCGGGGCACCCATGCGTGCCAATGAGCAGGCCATGTATGCATGTGGGCGTGGGGGTGGGATGAGATCTGTCTCCACGGCCCGTCCTGCGAAGGCCACGGACTGGCAGCAGGCCAGGGATTGGGGACCCCTGCTGTAGAAGAAGGCAAGACTAGAAATTATGTGTGGACATTGCAGGGGTGCAAATTTCAGGTAAACATTGAGAGGATTTTTAAAATACTCACAGCTGTTCAACTGTGCAACTGACTGTCTTGGGAGGCTGTGAATCTTTCTTTACTGTTGTTATTTAAGTAGAGGCTGGATGTCCATCTGGCAGGGATGCTGTGATTGCAAGATGCCTATAATGAACAAGGGGTTGGCTTAGATGACCTTGGAGGTTAAGGTCCTTCCCAAATCTGTAACCCTATAATGCTAAAAGACCATACCCTTTGTCTCTCCATTTGGCAGGGAGTGTTGTCTCCTGTTCCAGAACTAAGGGATTCTTCCAAACTTCAGGACTCCTCCTATATTGATGATTGCACTTTTCAGCAACTGGCAACATTTGTCCACTCTGTGAGAGATCCTGTCCATAACAGAGTGACTCTGGTAGGTGCTGGTCTGTGGATAGGGTGGCCACAATCTTTTTGCCATTCCTTGCATGTTACACTTTTTGCCTGCCAGTGGGGCTTTTTCAGAGCTCATATAAGGAATTATCCTGCACCTCCTTGCACATGTGTAACCCTCACAGAAAACAGCAGAGGTGATCTTCAACTTGAATGATGATAAGTGAAGATAGCAGAGGCTCTGGGCGTAGAATTATGTCCTCTTTGTGGTGAACAAGAGGCTGAGTACAGTGTTGTAAGCAGTGGTTAAAAATTTTCAGACTGATAGTGGGACTCCCATGTTCAAATCAAGTTGTATGGGATGTGTTATTGGCTGCATTCAGTTGTGGCATTTCTGGTCTTTCAAACCATGATTTGTGTATAAATTTCCTTGGAGTATTTAAAAAGCAGTCAGTCGATTTAATCATTTTTTGTGTAAACATTAAAACCTTACAAGAAGAGAGATGGTGCTTTTGATAGTTTCTAAAAAAAATTAAGACACCCTGAGCATGCCAAAGACCAATTTAATTTTGTAAGTTGATATGTTATAGAATTTGAATGTTGGCATAATACAGCTCTCCCTTTTCTTTTCCTAGGAACTCAGCAATGGCTCAATGGTTAGAATTTCCATTCCTGAAATTGCAACTTCAGAGTTAGGTATGCTGTTGAATCTAGATTCTCTTATTTTTCTAGCAAATGATCCAGAATCCAGCAAACAAAGATCTAAGTTCTGGACCAATGTAAACATATCTCCGTGGTCCTGCTGCTGGTTTCCTAGTAACCTGCACTGGATCTTGGTTCACAACTGTAACAATTGGAAATAGGGGACACAACTGAAGGCATACACTCTGTATGTTGAAGCAACAGAATAAACCATGGACCCTCCCCCCATGGTTTGTTTATTGCGAGTTCCAAATCCTAGCAGGACTCTGAAGTCATGAAGAAAGTAAATAATCACGGAATAAACCAAAGCCATTTCTTTGGCTTGTTGGGAGAGAGACAAGCCAGAATGCTCGGTTCAAAGAGCATGGTAAACAGAATCATGAACTTCCAAGCAATGGGCTAGGCAAATGGGTTTTGGGGAAGGTGTTCCTGCTTTATTGGTACCATGTTAGAGATGATGGTTTGCTTCTGCCCAGTTCCCATATTTGTGGCAGCATGAGAATTTAGTAGGACCTTAAGCAGATCCCTGTGTTTACGAGGATTGGACATAGGAAGTTGCCTTCTCCTGAGTCAGACCTCCAAACCTTCAGGCAGGACTTTTTGTCCCCAACTGTGGTGGGAGATGCCAGGAATCTGCAAACTTCTCCATGGACCACAGATGCTCCACCACTGAGCCATCTTGATGTTTTTTTTTTAAATCCCCCTCAAGGTTTTTTTTCGTTATCCACTTTCTCTACCTCATAAACAATTTTGTACAGCTCTACTGTGGCCCAGACCACTTAGGACTTGAATTATCATCATTGGTAATGAAAAAAATAAATAACTTTGTGGCAATACAGCCAAAATCTTACTAAGAAAAATGTGCATTTGCAAGCGGTGATAATGCAGCCCTTTGTCCTCTCTGGCAGACTGTTCTTCATATGACTACTCGTGTGCCCAATTTAACGAGTGTAGTAAGGACAGCCGAATAGAAAAGGACATTGCGTGTGTGATTTTCCTTGAGCTCTATGTTTCCCCAGCGGGATTTCTGCATGCTAGTTATTACAGAACCTTTAAGATTAAAGATGCATGAGACTCTTTCTTTCTTTTTGTTATACTGAAGCAGACCAATGCAATTCTCTGAAAAAAGAAGAATTGCTTACATAGCTCTCAGCTATGCTTGTCAAGGAAATTCCTTCTGAGAGAGAAATGCATGATTCTACACTTTGGTACTTCCTTCATTAATAGAACTCTTCCATTATGTCTGTGCTGGCCCTGTCAGCCTGTCAATATTACATGGAGTTCCATGATTCAGATATTGCTTGAATGGCTCAAGGACAAAAAAAGATTCTCTAATTGTTTGTTCTTTGCTTTGTCCTCTCCTTCTGGTATCTTAATCAGTCAAAAGATGTCTACAGGGTATTAAATGCATCCTCCCCAAAGAGATCGCTGTGCAGATGCTTGTCAGATGGTATAATGCATACAATGCACCGGGAGGACCAAGCTACTACTCGGAGTGGAACTTATTTGTGACCTGTCTGATGAATATGATGGGCTACAACACAGACAGAGTAGCATGGACTCGTAATGTAAGTGTTTTTGCTCAGCTTTTAGGCTCAGCTTATATTAAGGCATCATTTGTAAAATAGTGCCTTTTCTGAATGTTGATTCAGATACCTTCAGATGGGTGGCAGTCGTTTTACTGCTATTAGCAAGTATTAAGAAACTGCTATGCCTAGACATATTGTATGACATCCTACCCATTCTCTGTATTTGTGTGGGTACCATCAAGATGTTTTTGCCTTGTATGAAATAGCATGAAGGCTTTTCATACAAGGTACTAAGTGGCAGAGAAGAACAAATTTAGGAAGCATTAGCCAGAATCCTATTAGTGTTCATGTAAGGTTTGCATAATTTGCCGTGGCTAATTGTGACTAGTTGCCAAGGTGCTTGGGCATCTCTCAGTCATGCACTTGGGCATGACCAGACATGGACCTGAGCCACACCCCAGCACCTTGTCAGTAGACCTCAACCACAGCAAGTTACTTGACACCTTACGTGACCATCAGTAGCATTCTGGCCATTGCTTCTTCAGGACATAATAATAGCCAGTCACATATATAGGATAAGTTACACCAACATAATGAGTCCCTCATTACTGAGAGTTAGCTGTTGGACATGAAGAATGAATACAGTACACTCATCCAGAGAAATGCATAGCCCAAAACAGGTGGAATAGAATTTTGTTAGTTTTGATGTTCTCAACAGAAGTAGCCCTTTTTGCACCTCTTGAGATTCATTGTGAGAAAAAAGGCCCTCGCCTCAAGAATTTGTATGTGAATGAGGCTCACGGGGCATTTTGGACACATAAAATGTATGTAGGACAGGACACACATTAAAAATTGCAAATGGCTGAAATGTGCCTAATTAAGAATGTGCCCATAGGCACACTTTATTTATTAGAGAAAATGTAAGTCAGGTGAAATCTGTAAATAAATATGTAAGTTAGGGGAAAATGCATTGAAAATGCACACAAATTTCCATGCACCGTCTTGTCTGGTTTTGGCCAACGAGAGAAGGAAAATGGTGGTAGGATGTGGAGAAACCCAGTGATTTTTTGCCCAGGAATTACTATCATGAATTAGCAAGACCTCTAGCAGTTGCTTGATAGGACCCCATCAAGGCTAGGTTCTGCCTAGATTTAAGGTGTTTCTCTCACTTCATACGTTTGGTGTAAAATATTTAATTAGCTGTTCTTTGTGGAAACTGTTTCTGTCTTCAACCAATATATCCAGCTTTGTGTGCTTTGTGCATACATGGCACAGGGAAATTAAGAATAATTAAGGTAAATGGATTTTATAGGCAATAAAGAGAGACACTGAAATAATGTTTCATGCCAAGTGCACAAATTATGTGAAAGAGAATAGCAATTGCATGTTGTCCTTGCTTTTTTTTTTTTGACAGAATTAATATCTACAGGGCCTTGCTTTTTTTTTGACAGAATTAATATCTACAGTGTATAAATTTTGAAAGTGAATTTAGTAACCTCTGCAGTAATTTACTTATTTGCTTATTTTAGCTAGATTTTGAAGGATCTCTTTCTCCAGTTATTGCTCCCAAGAAAGCCCGGCCTTCAGAAACAGGATCAGATGAGGTAATGGAATTGTTAAACAAAACAGCTGGAGGGCACCACGTTGGTAGTGGCTGCTCTAACGACTATAATAAATATTTCCAGGTAGAGAATACTCTGAAGTGGTTTACCATTGCATTCTTCTAGGGGCGCCCTGGGACTGTGCAGCTTGCCCAAGGCTACACGGGCTGGCTCTTCTCCCAAGAAGCGCAGTGGGGAACTTGATGATCAGACTTTGGCTCCACAGCTAGACACCTAAACCACTAAACTATTCATCCAGACCTAACTACTTTACCTCACAGGGAATTGAGTAATTACTAATATGCGCTTAGTCATAGCCATTTTGGAAAGGTAATGTTTTGTAATGTGGTGGGTTCTTAGAATAGATTCAGACAAGCTCCCCCTCCTTTTTAATTTGCATTTTTTTTTCTATCAAGAAGCAACTCTGTCAGTTCTTCATCAATGGAAGATGAAGGTCCCAGATTCCACCTGGCTATTTGAGCCAGCAAGAGCCCCTGCTGTAATTACTGTACGTCCAGTGCTGGAAAACATGAAAGCAGTTCACTATTTGGATTTATTCCATGGGTTCTTTCTCTTTCACTAGGACTGGGAATACCTGCTAAATTCTGACTACCATAGGAATGTGGAGTCACATCCTTTGGCTAAAGCTTTGCGGCTGGATCCCCTGGAAGCAAAATCCCCCAAAGACAATACCTCACACAGTCACTGCCTGGATGCCACCACGCTCCTCTTCCCTCACATTCCAGCTATTTTCTGTGTGCTCCATTTAATCTACGAGGAGCTCAAGCTGAATTGCTTGATGGGGGAAGGAATCCGTTCTCTTGTCGTTCTTCTGGTTCAACTGGCAAGGTATGTTCTGACAGAAATAAACCTGGGCTGGTTCTCCGTTAGCAATAGCTGAGAAGAATTGGAGGAAACTGAGCCAGAAGTTGGGAGTTCGATTCCCCGAGAAATGAACCTGGGCTCGTTGTTCTCCGTTAGCAATAGCTGAGAAGTTGGCAGTTCGATTCCCCCCCCCCACTGTGCCTCACTGACAGGGGCTGGACTTGATGATCCATAGGGTCCCAAGAGAAGAGGATGATTTTAAAGCAGATCTGTGTTTAAGAAAAAAAATCATTAAGTTGAAGGGACTTGGTGAGTGACAGAGAAAATCTTCTACCAAAGAGGAGTTTGGTATAGCATTCTGTTTGCATTAGCCATAGGCCTTAGCAAGATAAATATAAAATTTGCAAAGATATAAAATCAAGACATTAAAATCAAGTTAATAAATGCATATCCATCAGATATATATGTCTATGCCAAAAATTAAACAAGGGTATCTATAAAAGCTTACTATTTTAAAGTCTTATTTGTTCTAATTTTAATTGCTGCTGCTACAAATGTAGGTGACTGCATTTTTAGTAATCTGTGTAATTTTGTACTCCATATATTCTGTGGCCCAATTCTGTGGCCCATCGGAGGGTCCTTCAGGGAAGATGAGATTTTGCAGATGGGGCTCTCTTGTCAGTGGGAGGGGAACGCTCCTCTCAAAAGCCGTCTTACAGTTTCTGAGGAAGATCCCCTATTTCTCTGCTGTGGCAGAGAAGGCCAAAAAGGGGGCACGCCGCTAGCAGGAGAGCAATCCAAAGTGCTTAGGATTGCCTGAATCCAGAGCCCTCCGGTATCCCTGATCTAACCTGAGAAGGAGGGAGGAAAGGGAGGACGGTTCTGAAGCTGTCATGTTTTTTCCTTCACCATCACAGTGACACGTATTGTGCCACTCTGAACAGACTGATCTCTGGAGGCTAGGTGGGCCACTAGTACGTACTTGGATGGCAGACCACAAATGAGTATCCAGGTTCTCCAGGTAAAGAAAAGGAAGGATCCTCCCTGAAAACCTGGAGAGCTTCTGTCGGTCAGTGTTGGCCATCCTGGGCTAGATGGATCCGTGGGGTCTAAATCAGTATAAGGCAGCATCCCATGTCTCTCTGTTAATGGGCAGGAGCATGTGAGGAATGAATAAGAAACAATGAGGGAGAAAGAAGTCAAAGAGGGAGTCTCTCATTCCTCTCTGTCTTGCTGACAGATGCTCAGAAGAGCTTAGGAGTGGGCAGTTCATCCACCATTATATCCTCCTCTTTACACACGATCTTCTTGTTGTGCGGTTTTAAAATATATTGTAACCCTTTTGGACATCCCACTTTGGGCTAAGACTGGGATAATATGCTGGAAACAAACATCAAGAACATCTTTGGATGTAGAGAATTCCATGCCTCCTCCCTATGCTTCAGGGACATGAATGGCGGTTCTAGTTTACATATTGCAGCAAAACCTCATGGCAATAGGTAGGGTGAACACAGGAGTTTATTTTGAGGAGGACAGGTTCTGAGGAATGAGAGTGAATTGGCAATAGGGTTACCATCACTCTGCATTTGCCATTTGGCTTTTCTGCCTTCGGTCACCCACAGTGTTGGGCTATCTTTGACATGTTCCACGATTTCTATGTTCCTGAAGCAAACTTTTCATTTTAGCAAGTGAATAGGATTCTGAAAATCCATCATCCCCATTCTCTTCCTCTTCTCCTTAATTAATCTTCTCATGCTGTCTTGTGCACCTTATATTTATTGTGCAACTCCCTTGGTTTTTATTTCCTTTTTTTTTAGGGACTTACAACTGGAAGCATACCTTGATTATTACTATAGAGACTATCCAGTGCTTCTAAAGACATCCAGGCAAACAGGCATAATTGACCCAGGTAGGTTTCAAGTGAAGAATTTAAATTCTTCTGGAGAAGATATTCCTTTTTATTAACAGCTTAGCAAGTACGAACCCTTATTACAAATCACAAAACATATTTACTTCTTTGTTAAAAAACATCTAACCGGCCTTGTATTAGCAGATCTCAGGACAGATTACAATCAGTGCAATCTTGCTAAAGCAAATATATATAATTTGAATACTTTCGATGTGGAGGGCAGTCATGTGGAGAAGGCTTTCGCCGCTTCAGATGGTATGACCTGGACCAGTGGAGTTAATTACATTAGTCATTCAGAAAATTAAGAAAGGAAATGTTGACTAGACTTCAGTTTAAGCATCTTCCCGATCAGAGATAGGCATTTACTATGGTTTGGCACAGTCCTGTGGATTGGGTGCACAGACGCCCTGAATTCCATGCGACGTATCCTCCTGAAGGGAACCCTGTCAGAAGCAGTGCCACAGGATTCCCTGCCCTGCCTCCTCCTCTGAGGAGAAGGCACATTGTGGAATCAGGGGCACGTGCAAAAACACCTGTGGGCCCAATCTGCCAAACCGTGCCAAACCGCTGAGCCCATCTCTATTCCTGATTAGACAAGTTGTTCGATAGTGGACTACTTTGGAAGATGGCTGACTATCCTTCATAGGCAGTCTTTGAACAAAGCCTGCATGGCTGTCTGCTAACGATATTTGAACTGGAATTTCCTGCATTTGCTGGGGGTTGATGATCCTCAGGGTTTTTCTGGCTTTACAGCTGTATTATTGTATAGATTTATACTTAGCTGTCCGTGCATTGGGTAAACCAGTGGAATATGGATGTAATCTGGGATCCTATGTTAGTAGCCGTCCCGGAAGCAGCAAAACTAGGGAGCTGGACAGGGGACAGATTGTATTTGTGTTCAGCATGAAAGGGACGATCGCTCTCGAATTGGCCTTCTCAGCCACACTAGATGCTGTTGAAAGTCCTCCACACAGAGCACGTTACCGTAGTCTTTCGAGAGTGAAGGATGCCTAATCAATCAAGTTAGTGGCCGTAGGGCTAAACCCCCACCCCCATTCTGCTGTAGTCATGTAAATCTATTTAATGCATACTTCCTAATCAATCAAGTTAGTAGCCGTAGGGCTAAACCCCCATGCTGCTATAGTCATGTAAATCTATTTAATGCATACTTGGGTTCTTCACTTAGCCTTAGCCAAGGACACTTGGATGTTTTTTGATGGATGATCTAGATTCTGTTAATTCTATTCATCGTGTTTGCAAGTTTGCTAGACCAGATGATGGATTTTTTTAAAAAAACTGTTTTCAAGTTAGTAGCCGTAGGGCTAAACCCCCATGCTGCTATAGTCATGTAAATCTATTTAATGCATACTTGGGTTCTTCACTTAGCCTTAGCCAAGGACACTTGGATGTTTTTTGATGGATGATCTAGATTCTGTTAATTCTATTCATCGTGTTTGCAAGTTTGCTAGACCAGATGATGGATTTTTTTAAAAAAACTGTTTATATGACTCATGTTTCATATGCTTAAGCCCAGACAGGTTTCATGCATCACCCTACCTTTTTTTCGGCGGAGCCTCCAAGTATATTTCAGTGGCTAAGTTCCTGTCTGAAGGGAGAAAGTGTGCCACCATACCCTTATTTGCCGGGAATCTGTGAAAGGAGCAAGCTGGTTGTGCTGGTATGTGCTACAATTCCTGCAAAAGGTGTCTATATGCTTAACTTAATGGACGACTGAGATATTCTCATTGTCTGTCCCTCAGTCCTAAATTGTGTGTGACTCATCCCTCAGTAGTCTTGTGGTACCTGAAATAGTAGCAGGTTTGATTTGACACAAATGCGAGTGGATTGCAACCTGCTTTGTTAGGTGGCACCTGATGGGGTGGGCTATCGTCCCTGAAAGCTTATGCAAAATAAAATGTACTAGTCCTTAAGGTGCAACAAGACTTTGTTGTTGTTGTTGTTGTTGTTGTTGCTGCTGCTGCTGCTGTTATTATTATAGAACAATTAAGATTCGGACCACAAGTTTTCTGAATAGTTTTTATCCCATAGCTATAATTGCAATTAATAATGAGCTTAAAGACACCAGTAGTGAATAATTAGTTGGACTGTGTTACTTGGCCTGCGGTGTCGGAACCAAAACTCTAACGGAACTGAATTGTTTAGCTCTTTGGACTGTTGCTATTGAAAAGTAGAACAGGGATGAGCAACTTGGGACCCTCCAGATATATTTGGACTGATTTCCATCCTTAGCAATAACAATGTAAGAAGAGCCGTGCTGGATCGGGCCAAGGGCCCCTCTAGTCCAGCTCCCTGTATCTCACAGTGGCCCCACCATATGGCTTTGGGAGCACACGAGACCACTAGATCCCTGTCTCCTGATCCCACTCTCCTGCATCTGGCATTTTGAAGTACCTTCTTTTTAAACCTGGATATTATACATCCCCATCATGGCTTGTAACCTAGCATGCTGGGTCAAGAGATATTTTCTTTTGTCTCTTCTCACTCTCCCAACACTCAATTTGAGTGGATGGACCCGGTTCTAGTATTGCGTGAGAGGGAAAAGAGCTTCCCTCTATTCACTATCCATCCCCTGAATAATTTTATACATCTCCATCATGTCCCCCCCCAGGCCCCTTTTCTCTAGACTAAAGAGCCCCAAATGCTGTAGCCTTTCCTCATAAAAGAGGTGCCCCAGCTCAGTCATTGTTTTAGTCACTCTCTTCTGCACCTTTTCTAGTTCCACAATGTCTTTTTTGATGTCTTCACCATCCGGAAAAGTTTTGTATCCATGCTGGCTACAGAGGGCCTGGCCTTTCCTTGGCCTGAGTCAGTCAGTTGCCTCAGGCCACAGGAGTGTCAGGAATGGCCCATTTGCTACTCCCCCGAACCAGTAGGGCCTTTTCTGCTCTGGAGTTCGGTCGCTGCTGAGTGCAGGGAATAGATGCATTTGCTAATGTGCAGAGGAAGGAGTTAAATTCCTGTAGGTGAGAACTTTTCCTTACGTGCTGGGGCTCAGAGGCTTTTGGTAAAGTGTTCTATATCACATTCAGGTTAAATTTAGAATTCTCTATATCAGAAATATCAAACAAAGTCCAGGAGCATCATTGTATTTTTAAGTCAGTGCGTTTTACGCATGACGGGCCTCATTCTGGCACAGTTGGGACCTGATGCCTTTAGAATAAGATGAGCAACTTTGGAGATTCTGTGAGGTGTATCCATCCATCCATTACCCTGCGTCCATCGTGGTCCCGATCAGCCTCTCCGTCAAAATCAAAAGTGATGAAATGGTCACTGCTGGTTCCAAACAAAACACAATCAAATCACTTCCAGTTACAAAAGTGCAGGATTTCGGGGATTGAAATGACGAAAGGAGGCCTTTAGTTTGGAAGAGATGTGCCTCCTGCAGCCTTCTAGAGATGTGGCTTCTCCACCTTTTTTGCAAAACCAAACAAAGCATGTGGGCAAGGACAATGGAGCAGATCAATTGGCTGTAACTGTAATGCTTTGTACACTGAAGGTCCCAGCTTTCATCCCTGACATTGCCAGGAACAAGATCAGAGGCCACAGGCTGGAAATTACCTGCCTTGCGACACTGGGGAGTTGATCTAGAGCAGCCAGTAGTCTGGCTAAAAAAGAAGACAATGAATTTAAGGTAGATACCTACCTAAAGTCAGTGGCCAAAATCCTATGGCTTGGTATAGTATTCCAGTGGGCCCATTGAATCAATGAGGATTTCGTGAGTCACTTCCTCCGTAAATTCCATGGATTCAAATGAACCTACTCTAAAGTGACTTACTATGCTAAAGTAAATGGGTGTACTAGCTAGATTGTCTGGAAATAGACCCTAATACAGAATTCTGTTTCCTGAGCAGAGCGTTGTGCTTTACATACTTGGGGATGAAAGAGCCGTTTCAAATGAAGCGTCCAACTATTTGTACAAGATAACGTCAGGTAAGATGACTTCGGAGAGTATTTCTTTCCATTCCTTTCTGTGCATCTCATCGTCCCAAGTAGAAGTTAAAGCATTGCATTTTTCTCTCCTTTTTCCTTTTTTAGGGCAGCGAAAGCAGCAGAATGAACAGGAAGAACTTTGGTACGTTAATTAGTAGACAGCACCAAGATGCATTTAGAAGACATTTGATTGGTTACTCCTTTCGCTGTTTGCTTTCTGAGGAATGTTAGAAGAGGGACCCTAGAGGATGCTAACGTCCTTCTTGGGAGGACATGCTCTCCATATTCTTCCTTCATTAGTTACGGGGCTTTGATATGGTTTGTCCTTCAAGGTCTTGCTTCAGATAGGGTTCTGATGGGAAGGATTACTCTTCTTCCCTGTAGCCAGCCCCCTTCAGCAATCTAGCTGCTGTATTGTAGACTTGCTGAAGTTTCTTGACATTATCCATCAGCTGAGCCCCACATAGATCATGTTACAGTAATCCAGTTGGGAAGTAACTAAGGTGTGTGTCACAGTGGCCAGATCAGATCTCTCCAGAAATGGATGTAGCTGACATACTAGTTTTAATTGTGCAAATGCACTCCTGGCCTCTGGCCGAAACCTGGGTGTCCAGGCTCAGAGATTAATCCAGGAGCACCCCCAAACTGCACACCTGTGTTTTCAGGGAAAGTGCAACCCCATCCAGTACAGGCTGCATTCCTATTCCTTGGTCTCCCTTTTGACTGACCAGAAGTACCTCTGATAGATATCAACCAGTATTTTTAAAACATTTCCAGCTATGTTCCAACTCACACCATTCTTCTTCCACTAGGTTATTACTACTTCTTAATTTTAAAGGCCTAATCTTTATAGATTTGCTTTTTCTTGACAGGCTCCATTTGTATTTTCTAATTAAAGCAGCTATCCACTATACCACGTTAGGAATTTAGAGATGGGTGTAGTGGATGTCAAATCAGTTTGACAACGTTTAAAAGAATGCAAGCTGAAACCTTTCTTCTTAAGTGAGTGAAAGCAGTAGGTATCTTTTTCAGCCAATTGAAAGTAGTTTGAAAGTCGGTTGCAGTTTGTATGAATAAGGAACTCCCTGTTGACCTTGTTCATATGGATTTTGTATTGTTTCGAAACAATGGAAAGAGGGCCAAGGAAGAAGTGAGTATATCCACCATAGAAGTGGTGCTTCCCTCAGACATTTTTCAGTTCTCTTAAGAATTTCGTTCTGCCTTCAGAGGTTCGTACAGAAGTTTGTCGTTTTTTTCTTTTTTTGTTCCAAACCCGTATTCATCAGTCTTGATGATGCTTAAAGGCAATGATTTTGTTTAGGTACTATAATATTATTATGTACAGTGGTGCCTCGCTTAACGACATTAATTCGTTCCAGCAAAATCGCTATAGAGCGAAAATGTCACAAAGCGAAATAAAAAAGCCCATTGAAACGCATTGAAAACTGTTCAGTGCTTTCCAATGGGCTGAAAAACTCACCGTCCAGGGAAGATCCTCCATAGGGCCTGCCATTTTCGGTGCCTGTAGAGTGAGGAATCCATCCACAAACACAGCGGGGAGCCATTTTGAGCACCCGGCGGCCATATTGAAAACCTGACAATCAGCTGTTTTGATAGTCGTAATGCAAAGAATTGTTTCCTGAAGCAGGGAACCGATCTTTGCAAAGCGAAAAAACTCCATCTAAAACATCGTTTTGCGATCGCAATTGCGATCGCAAAAACATCATCATGAAGCGGATTCATTGTTATACGGGGTAATTGTTAAGCGGGGCACAACTGTATATTGAAATGTATTCAGAGAACTTGGTAAATAACATCGTTCCGATATTTTATGTAAATATTAGGATTTACTTTGAGAGATCTGGAATCTTTGCCCTTTGGAGTTGCTCTTCCTGTCAGAGATGCAATATATCACTGCCGGCAGCAGCCTGCCTCAGAACTTGGTAAATAACATCGTTCCGATATTTTATGTAAATATTAGGATTTACTTTGAGAGATCTGGAATCTTTGCCCTTTGGAGTTGCTCTTCCTGTCAGAGATGCAATATATCACTGCCGGCAGCAGCCTGCCTCTGACTGGCCAGAAGCAGTCTGTCTTCTCATAGGCCGCCAGGACCTTTCCAAACAGGCTCGTGAGGGAAACTTGCGAAAGTGCAAAGCTGTAAGTATCGGAATTAAGATCCTTCCCAAAACATTTATATTTTCTCCATGGCATGAGCTTTCTCCCATTTAAATTAGATTTAACTGATGCAGTAAGGCCCCTGGATGCTGAAAACTGCAGATAATAGCGAACACTATAATAGGATGGTAATATTTTAAAAATCCAGAATTTTCCCCCACAGGTATTACCAGAACTGACCACTAGAGGGAGCAAGAGACCGTGCCATGTGTTCTTCAACAACAAGAATACATAGCATGGTCTCTCCCTCCCTCTAGTGGCCAGTTGTGGTAAATACATTGTGAGAATATGTATTTTTAGGGTTTTTTTCTTTTGATAATTTTAATATTCTCAGACTGAATAAGTGAATCCATGGATACTGATCCTGCAGATATAGGGGTCCTACTGCATTCCCATTTGAATAAATGATGCATCGTTTATGGAAAATCAGGCAACTGTGACTATTTGGATGTGCACCCCTGTATTTAGCGGCTTAGAAAAGAGGTTTTCCCCCTTCTGTCTCCCCAAAAGTCTGACACCCAGGTGCTCTCATCCGATATGCCCTCCACTGTAGAGTCGGAAGAGGACGATGATGGAATGAACGACATGAACCAGGAAGTGATGTCGCTAATATGGAGTGAAGACTTGAGGGTGCAAGAGGTGCGCAGGCTTCTGCAGAGTGCCCACCCCGTCCGTGTCAATGTAGTTCAAATGCCAGAAGTCAGCGACCATGAATATATAGAAGAGAAAGAGAACCGGTAAATTGTCGACCTTCCTGTCGAGCTTGCTTCTCTGAATGTCATATGGTCCTACTATCCCATTCCTCCCATGTTTGCCAGCCTGGATCTTTCTGGTGGTGCTTCCATGTGCTTGAATTTCCTGCTGATGGAAGGATCAAAAATGGGAGTAGGCAATTGGGAAGCTCAAATTTAAAAATAGCTTACTAGAAAGGTACTTTATTTTGCAGAGGTTTCAATGTCACTATTTTGATGCATCCTTTCTTTAGAAAGCTCACTTTGTCCTCTACCCAGGTGCAAACATTTATCAAAGAATAGATGGGGAAACAGGGTTAAACTGGAGTCTAGCAACAGAACCCTAGACTAGAAAAAGGTTGTCTGTTATCCTGTTGATCTCAAACGCCAGCATACTTTTCTATAACAACAGTTTAAATAGTGTATATTGATTTTTTGAATTGTGTTTTTTCCTGTCTCTTTTTTTATTTAATCATATATCTAATGTATGGTTTGGGGGATGTTTAAAAAAATATTTTTTGAAAATACTTCTAAGAAGAATGCCAGATGCAGGTTCATATGGGATCCCAGGGTAGAAAGGAAAAGAACAGAATAATATTTCTGGCTTTTGCCCAACATGAGATGTTGGCAACATGCTGACAAGCAAAGCAGAGTGAGAGAGTACCAAGCACGAATTTAAACATGTCATAGCATTGAATTATTAGATGAGGAAAGTGTGATTTCCCAGTTGTCAGACCACAATTCCCAACGTCCTTTGCTGATTGCCTTTCTTGGTTAAGACACATGGGACTTGTAGTGCTGCAAGATTAAGAGGGCTACATTTTCCTTGATATGTCTTAAGGCAACATTTTGGTTTTTAACTATGCATCAAGAAACACCACTTCTCTTTTTTTCACAATGCTATGTGAATTATAGCAGAGAGAAGGAGGTATATCTTGCTACTTTTGCAATAAGCCCAGTTAAAATGTTCTGGAGGAAGAAGTTAGGGGGAAATTTTGCATCTCCCTTGGCCCACAAAGGGAGCATCTGATACGAGCCTTCCCCATCCTGAGCTTGCAAGGTCTGTTGAATGTACTACTTCGAGGATGTAAAAAATCTATAGTCCAGGTGGCAAGGATCCATGCTTCTCTGCACTCCAATATCTACACTCTTTGAAACTGGAGCAGGGCTCACGTGAGGACAGACCCTAGTGTCAGCTCCTCCTGCAGGTCTTGGCCTGTTTGCATTGTCTGAAGCTGCACTACAGCATTCTCCAGAACCCAATGGAAGGACCTCTAAAGAGAGTGTTAGAAGAAAGAGCATTGTCTGTTTCTCATCACGCGGGGTTGGTTTGTACACGATAAATTCATCATTGTCTGCAGGACCACAGGGTGCTGCGGATATATACCGCCCCATAACACTTAAAGCCCTCTCTGGGCAGTTTGCAATTTAATTATGCAGATTACACATTGCCTCCCATCCCAGCAAGCTGGCTACTCAATTTACCGACCTCAGAAGGATAGAAGACTGAGAGCACCTGGGATTGAACCCAGGTCGTGAGCAGAGTTTTGGCTGCAATACTGCATTTCAACTACAGTGGTGCCCCGTATAGCGAGCGCCTCGGTTAACGACGAATCCGCATAGCGATTTGGTTTTTGTGGTCGCAAAATTGATCACATTCCGATGTTTTTAATGGCAAAACATCGCATTGCGATGATTGGTAAGCGTTTCGCTTACTGATTTTCTCATTGCGATATTTAAAAAACAGCTGATCGGCGGTTCCAAAACGGCCGCCGGAAAAAATGGCCACCCGCAGCATTTTCGCGCCCTTTCATCGCTTACCGGGCAGTGAAAATGGCGGCCGGATGGAGGATTTCCGCATAGCACTGAGTTTTTTCCCCATAGGAACGCATTAAATGTGTTTTAACTCCTATGGGGTTTTTTGCCCCGCATAGCGACGAATCCGGATAGTGACGATTTGTTTTGAACGGATTATCGTCGCTATGCGGGGGACCACTGTACTGCACAATGAGTCTTCATGCCACTTCCAGGAATGTGAATGGGTCCTCACAGGTATGATGCTCCAAGCAGCTTCTCATGTTACTTCGATCACCATCTTTTTCAGTGAGATGAGATCATAACATTCATTCACCTGTTATCAAGTACACTCACAGAAAAATCAGATGGTGTATGACCAGCCTGCAGATTAACAGATTAAATTCTCTCAATCCTTTATTAAAAAAAAATTAAATTTGTTCCTCCAAAAAAGCCGCTGTTCAGAAAAACATACAGAACAAGAGCAGCCCTAAATTCAAGGGTTTGTCTATTTGAGTGATTGATACTAATGTATTCTCTGCTGTAGCATGAGTAAGTTTGTTCAGAAACCCTGTTCCCTGCCTTCTTTCGGCTCTTGGTTTCCACTGTAGGTTGTTGCAGCTTTGTCAGCGGACGATGGCCTTGTCTTTGGGAAGAGGAATGTTCACTCTGTTCTCTTACCACCCAGTTCCAACAGAACCGTTGCCTATTCCCAAACTGAACTTGACAGGTGTGTTTTGTGATCTTTAAACTGCTAACCTGATTTTCCTTAAAACATATGCAGAGAGTGGAAGATTTAGCACTGCCTGTCCTAGACCAATGTAGCTGTAGTCCCTGGCAAATAACCTTTTAAAAATGTGTTTTTAATTGAAAAATATTAATGCAAAGCACAAGAAAATACATAGCAATACAAAGAATACAAACCTAGAAAAAAAACTTAAACACAGAAACGAAAGCAACATAAACTATATAATTGCACAAACAGTGCATCCTTCCAGCAGCACTGATATATTAAAACATTTTTAAAAAATTTTATGAAGCTCCATTCCCCTTCCAAAACTGCACTGAAAATTTTTTTTATGAAGCTCCATTTCCCTTCCAAAACTGCATTGAATCTGGTTGTGTTTCCAAGGGAGCAGGAAGTCCAGCTATCATAGTAATACGGGCTCATTGCCGTGTGTCCAATCAGAAGGGGCCTGCCTTTCTGGCTGGACACTCTTGCTCGGATGTCTGATGAAGACGAAAGCAAGGGCCTTCTCGGTGACTGCACCCAGCCTTGGGAACTGCTTTCCAGGGAAGCTTAGGCCAGCTGCGTTTCTGCAGTTCTAAGACTAGCTAGCAAAGATATTTTTAATTCAGGCAGACCATTGATATGGACGGACTGACTGATGAGGAAGGGCCTTTTAATGCCAGGTGGGTGTTGTCACGCTCTTTTCATCCAATCTTAAACAGAGCTTCAGAATTTTGTTAATTCAGCCCAGTTTTAGTGCAATAATAGTCTGTTTATTTATTAAATAATGATTTAATAGCCTTTTAATATTGAAGCTCATTGCATCTTTAAACTGTATCATTTATATACTTGTGTATATATGACTTAAGGCATATATTGGTTTTTAACTACCGTGTTTCCCCGAAAATAAGACAGGGTCTTATATTAATTTTTGCTCAAAAAATGCATTAGGGCTTATTTTCAGGGATGTTTTATTTTTTGTGTGTTCAAAAATCTACCTTTATTCAAATACATTCATGTCATCTTCTGGTTGCTGCACAGTGGTGGAGGGCAGGGTTTCACTTAACTGGGCTGGGGCTTATAGCAGACAGAAGGAGGTATATTGAAGCTCATTGCATCTTTAAACTGTATCTTTTATATACTTGGGTGCTGCAACTGAGAAAAGGTGGGATATGGGTGGATAAGTGGATTGGAAGATTGACAGATAGTTAGATAATTTGATAAACAGAAGGTAGGCTTTCTTCCTGGAGATTCCTATATGTGCATTAGTGATGCTTACAGAATATCTATGCATTTCATGCTTTTCTGTATTTTTGTTTAGTTGTAGCATGTAAGAATCACTTCAATATGGTCCTATTTAGACTGCATTGTAAATACAAAAGAAGAAGCTCATTTATTCGTGGTTATTATTACTGCTAGACAGCTATTTCCACGAATCTCTCATTTCCAGTTCTCTGAGGATGAGGAACTGTAACGGTGGAACTATGGAGGAGTCCATTCAGTTGCATGCATGACAGAACATTTTGGCTCTTACAACTTGTTGCTTCAGTGGAGCTAGCAGGAAGAGAGGGTGCCTTGTCTGATGAACACTTAGTACTCAGAAAAATAATACTGGACAAATGGTGCTAAGTTTCCTGCAGTAGATCCCCCCCCTTTAATGTCTTCTCCTTCCTCTCTTTTTCCTGTATGATCTGTAATGTGTTGTATTATTTAAAACGTCCCAGTTGCTTGGGCCACGCAGCAAAGACTGCTCAGGAAGATCCCTAGCCATCAGTAGGATATCATTACGTAGGGGACTGCTTTTTAGAGTACAGTTACTCTGGCAAAAAGAGGAGAACATTGCAAAGCAAAACAAAGCATACTTTTTGCACTTTTCAGCTGTATCTGAAATTAATGGATGATTCTACTTTGCTGTACAGGACGGGCTCCTCCAAGGAATACCACAGTGGATCTCAATAGTGGGAATATAGATGTACCTCCCAACATGGCTTGCTGGGCTAATTTTCACAACGGGGTGGCTGCTGGCCTGAAAATAGCACCAGCTTCCCAAATAGACTCAGCTTGGATTGTCTACAACAAACCTAAAAATGCTGAACTAGCCAACGAATATGCAGGGTTCCTGATGGCCCTGGGTTTGAATGGCCACCTCACGAAACTCGCAACGCTTAACATCCATGACTACCTGACAAAGGTGAGGCTGTTTTCCTTTGAGCTGGGCTGTATATAAAGGTCTCTCCATTGAAGCAGATTGATGGAAGTCATTTTGATGTTGCAGGCACGCTGTGCGCGGAATGTTGACACTGAGAAACATTGTCATATAAACCAAGGATGGGAGAAGTTTTGGAGTACCAGATGTTTTGGCCTGCAGCTGTAATAGTCCCTTATTATTGCCATGTGGGACTAATAGGCTAGAACATCTGGAGTACTAGAGTTTCTCCTGGTAAAGACCCTACCAATGGTGTGAAGAATGTTTTGACCATTTCTGGTTATTTATCACAGTAGCTGACACAAGACCTTCACCAGAAAAATCCATATCAGTCTCTGTTGATATTGCTCGTGCTTCACTTAAACTGGAATTTTTTGCATGTATACATTACTCAAACAGTGACGTCTACATTGGCTCGGGCATGTCATGAGAATGGGTGATAGTCGGATTCTGAAAGATCTCCTGTATGGAGAATTGGGGTAGGGAAATCGCCCCAGAGGGAGACCACAGCTGTGATACATGGATATCTGCAAGCGGGATCTGAAGGCCTTAGGAATGGACATCAACAGATGGAAAACCTTGACCTCTGAGCGTTCAGCCTGGAGGCAGGCGGTACATCATGGCCTCTCCCAATTTGAAGAGTCCCTTGTTCAGCAGGCCAAGGCAAAGAGGCAGTCGCGAAACCAGCAAAATCAGGGAGCTGGACAGGGGACAGATTGTATTTGTCTTCAGTGTGGAAGGGATTGTCACTCTCGAAATGGCCTTCTCAGCCACACTAGACGCTGTTCCAAGACCTCTATTTAGAGCACGTTACCATAGTCTCAAGACTGAAGGATCCCTAATCTGATCTGATCTGATCTAATCTAATCTAATCTAACCACCTAAACAGAGGCAGTTACACACAATCTTGTTGTATAGTTGTGCAAAAGGCATACCTTTTAACAGTGAATTGTAAATTAATAAATCTCTATAGGCATCATCCGTTGCATACTGAGTTGTGCAACCTGATGTACATCTTGCCGCTAAAAGTTAAGCTTTTTACATAACTGCTCAACTGGATTTTTGCCATTGAAACTAAAATAATTCCAGTTGTACCAAATAATTTGGGTCCTTTTAAGGAGAAAGGCAGAGTAAAAATAAGTAATTACGTAAGTACGTAAGTAAATAAATAAGTAAATAAATAAGTAAGTAAATAAGTAAGTAAATAAATAAATAAATAAATAACTTTACCCTGACTGATCAATTAATTTTCAATAGATTTTAGGTTATCCACAAATATTTGCTGAAGCCCATATATTTTCTAAATTAAATACAGTAACATGATCTTGTGTGTGTGTTTTTTTGAATGTATTCCCCAAATGAGTGCTTTACGTGTTGGTTTTGTTCTTGCTAAACCCAATTAAGCCTTTCCTTTCTCACGGCAGGGCCACGAAATGACCAGCATTGGGCTGTTGCTGGGGGTTTCTGCTGCCAAACTTGGCACGATGGATATGTCGATCACTCGGCTGCTCAGCATCCACATCCCTGCTCTGCTCCCACCAACTTCCACTGAGCTGGATGTTCCCCATAATGTGCAAGTGGCTGCTGTAATTGGGATAGGCTTGGTGTACCAAGGAACAGCCCACAGACACACTGCCGAGGTTCTGCTGTCAGAAATTGGTAATGTTCAAAGGGGGTGCTGGGTTAGTCTGTTCAGCCAAACAGCAATGGGTTTTGTGGTACCTTTAAAACTGCCAGCTTAATTTTAGCATGAATTTCTATGGATTTCAAGCCACTTTTCCAGAAAGACAGAGCATAATTTCAGGGCCACACATATGCATGCACAGTGTACGTGGCAGGGGGTGGGATCACAGTGAAATTAGATTGAAAGTATGGCAATTACATTACTAAGACTAAGAAGAGGGAATATGTCAGAGCAGTGGTTTCTAACTTTGGGTCCCAGATGTTCTTGGACTAAAACTCCCAGAAGCCTTCATCACCATCTGTGCTGGTCAGGATTTCTGGAATCTGTAGTCCAAGAACATCTAGAGACCTGAGATTGAAAACCACTCTGTTACAGACATTTCTGTATTCTGCAGAATGTACGCAGGCTGTGAATTATTTCTTGGAAATCTCCTTTCACTGTATAAGTGGCCAGGTTTCTTAAGCGAAAGAATCCTTTCTCATGACTGAGGGTAACTTCTGTTCCTCTTCTGTTTCACAATCCCACACAGCTTCTTCCATCTCAGCAGTTTCTAATCTTCTGTTTTTTCTTTCCCCTTCTCCCTTTGCTCCTCCTTGCCTCCACTGGCCTGATGTGCCTTCTCTGAGCCAACCCCATAGTCTCAGAGAAGACCAGGAGTTTGCTCTTTTCTCAAAGATGTTCTGTTTGCAGGGCCATGTAGCTTAAAAAAAAAGAAAGAAAGAAAGAAAAGAAAAGCAATTACTGAAACTTGTTGTGGGTTTTTCGGGCTCTTTGGCCGTGTTCTGAAGGTTGTTGTTCCTGATGTTTCGCCAGTCTCTGTGGCCGGCATCTTCAGAGGACTAGAATAGGAAATCTGTCCATGCTCTGTTGCTGTTTGTTGCATAGTTATCCAACAAACAACTATCCAACAAACAGCAACAGAGCATGAACTTTGTTCCTACTCCAGTCCTCTGAAGATGCCGGCCACAGAGACTGGCGGAACAACAACCTTCAGAACACGGCCAAAGAGCCCGAAAAACCCACAACAACCATCAGATCCCAGCTGTGAAAACCTTCGAGAATACAATTACTGAAACATCATAGACTGAATTCATTCACAATGCATCTTCCATGTAGATCCTTATGAAGCAAAGGCAATAAAACATTTTGTGTGAGTAGGAGCCCTGTAAATTGCAGTATTGCAGTCAAGCTTCTGCTCACAACCTGAGTTTGGTCTTGAGGGACTCAAGCAGCCGGCTCAAGGTTCACTCAGCCTTCCATCCTTCTATGCTCAGTAAATTGAGTACCCAGCTTGCGGAGTTGTTGGAGGATCTGTAATCTACATAATTAAATGGTAAAACCATCTAGAGAGTGCTTTAAGTGCTATGGGGCAGTTTATAAGCCGCAAACTTTGCTTTTTTGCTTTGCTTAGTTATAATAGGCCTAAACAGTTCACAGAGTTTTGCAAAATGGCCCTTTACAGTGGACCCTCGACTTACAGACGGCTCGACTTCTGACTTTTCGAGTTACAGACTTCTCTGGCAGCAAAATTTAGGTTCGACTAGCAGCCAGAGAATTGACCTACACACCAGAAAAAAGCCAAAATGGAACAAAAATGGAACAAAAACGGCTGGTTATGGGATTAACTGGTTTTTAATGCATTGTAGGTCAATGGAGACTCAACTTACAGACTTTTCGACCTGCAGCCACCGTTCCAATACGGATTAATTCCATAAGTAGAGGATCCACTGTATTTGTTGAGGACAAAGCAATTTTGGGCAAGGCTCTTCAGTTACTGGATTTTTAGTTCAAATTTAGCTGAGCATAAAATGAACATTTGCTTGCTATTCTCAAATGATTGTAGCTGGTTTTGTTTGGTTTTGTTTGAATGAAGGCCGCCCCCCTGGTCCTGAGATGGAGTATTGTACTGACAGAGAGTCCTATTCACTGGCTGCTGGCTTAGCTTTGGGGATGGTTTGTCTCGGGGTAAGTGCAGCTCTCTTTCATTAACATTTGGGTGATGGTGAATTTGCATGCTGAGTGTTCATTTGGCATAATTCTGTATAAATGAGTTAAGGATTTTGCACTCTGTGGCTACCAACAGATGGGAATGGTAGTAGCCATACTGATTTCAGAATATGGATGGAGTATTTTCTATTCTTTATTTTTGGTTCTTCTCCCAGCATGGCAGCAACTTGATAGGCATGTCGGACCTCAACGTACCTGAGCAGCTTTACCAGTATATGGTTGGTGGCCATCGGCGCTTTCAAGCTGGAATGCATCGTGAAAAACACAAGTCTCCGAGTTACCAAATCAAGGTGATGGTTTGCGGGGTCTTTAGATGGTGCCATATATAAAGTCAGAGCATTGAAATCAGTATCATTTACATCAGAGATGGGGTACTTTTGTTCTTCCAGATTAGACATGGGCACGAACCACTTGTTTGTTTATCAGCTAAGCAGGTGTTCAGTGCTCCAAAGCCCAACCTCTTCCGGCAGGTGCCCGCTTAGAGGCAGCCCCCGGCGAAGGCAGGGCAGAGAAGCCGGGCTGCTGCCTCTGAGTGGGCGCCCGCCAGACGAGACCGGGTTTTGAAGCGCCAAACACCTGTTCGGCTGATAAATGAACTGATAAGTGCCCATCTTTATTCCAGATGCTTTTGATGCCCCACAATTCCTCATGATTGGCCCTGTGGGTTTGGATTAATGGGTATGATATCTTAGAAGATCTGGTTCCTCACTGGTCCACACTCCCTGGCAGCAGCTTTCCAAGGTTTAAGACAGAAGTCTTTCCCAGTTTTTCTGAGCGATGCCAGGAATTAAACCTGGAAAGAGAGTCTGTATGGAAAGGACATGTTCTGCCACTGAGCTGCAGCCTCAACACTGAACTATAGCCAACGATAATTCTTTGTGGACTGTTTGTTCTTTTCATCCTTTTCCCTCAGGGATATGTTTAATTAAGTAGTTTAATGCTCAACACAGCTGTTGTTTCTGAAAAACTTAGAGCAACCTTAGTGGCACTCCCTAGGATCCTTAATTATCTTACTAGCCAAATTCAGACATGTTCTGTTTTAAAGGGGGAATTCCATCAAGCACCATCAGAACACTTCCTTTTCCCACCTGCCACGTAGAACCAAAGTGCTCTGAATAAGCTGTATGTAGGGATGGGGTGGCTTTCTGTAACGTTCTTTTTTTTAAGCAGAAAGTTCCTTCTGTACTATTCTTGCATCAGTTCATTTTTTTAAACATATATTATGTATTTTATGTGCAGTTCCTATATATATTATTTTCCCATTATGTGCCACGATATGTATACATTATTTTCACAGATGCACCCATTTTTGTATGCATTTTTTTAATTAAAGAACTTTATTGCAAAATTTAGAGATGTTCAAAAACCAAAAGATATTTGGGTTTCAGTTCCTAGTTTTGTTTTGGGAAATATGGATTACAGTGGGGTCTTGACTTGAGAACTTAATCCGTATTGGAAGGCGGTTCTCAAGTCAAAAAGTCTGTAAGTCAAGTCTCCATTGACCTACAGTGCATTGAAAACCAATTAATCCCATAACAGGCCGTTTTTGTTCCATTTTGGTTTTTTTCTGGTCTGTAAGTCAAATCTCAGTCTGCAAGTCAAACCTAAATTTTGCGGCCAGAGAAGTCTGTAACTCAAAAAGTCTGTAAGTCAAGCCGTCTGTAAGTCAAGGGTCCACTGTAGCTTGCAGGACTAGGTGATACTTTTATTAAACCACTAAAAAAATTGTATGGTCTGCTAGCTTTTATGAATCAAAACCCACTTCTTCAGGCATATACTGGTGTCATGTCATTAACGCACACCTCCAGTGCAACCTGTGCCTCTTCTAACTTACCTCTAATAAACGAGCCTGGTATACCATCTGCCAGGAACATATTGAATTCTCAATAAGATATCAGTGCATGCCTGAAAAAGTGGTCTTTGATCCATGAAAGCTAGCAGATTGTATGATTTTATGGTGATCTAATAGAGATATTGATAACTCCTGCACTGAATTGTGTTAGGACCACGTCTCTCTTCATTTTTTTATGATTTAGGTTGACTTCTGTGAGAAAGTAACCAAGAGATTTCCTATCCTTTCCCACTTACATGCAGTGCTCACTGATAGTAAAACAAGACTCTGTGGCAAATCACCCTGAATGCATATTCTTATCTTGATAGGAAGGAGATACTATAAATGTCGATGTGACTTGCCCGGGTGCAACTCTGGCCCTTGCAATGATTTATCTGAAGACAAATAACAGGTATGGTGTATAAATTTGTTCTTATTTATAAGATGCCTTATATTTAGAATAACAGGATTGGAAACACTTGCTGATTCACCTTCCCATGCCTATTCTGATCACAATCCTGTGGCTTAGCGTAGTCAATAGCACTATTGAATCAATGGGAATTTGGAGAGTCAACTCCTCTGTAAATCTCATTGATTCAAATGGGCCTACAAGTTACTGTGCTAAAATAAGTCATAACTAGGGTAAGCCCATTTGAAACAATAGAACTTCAAGACTCTCCAAATCCCCATTGACTCAATGGGCCTACTCTAGTGTGAGTCACTGTGGTAAACAACAAGATTTGGGCCTCTTTGTTACCAGAATAACAGGTGAAAATATCTTGCAGAAGAAAGATATACCATATCATTTTAGAAGTTAAACAGGATAGGGGTCAGTCAGTGAAGATGAAACAAAATGTTTCCTTAAAAGTTCCAAAAGACAAATAGAGACTCTGCTGACCATTTTATAATTGCAATCTTGTGTTTTTCATTTTGAAATTAAGCTGCCATGTCTCATCTCACTCAATCAAGTGTTCTTTTTATGAGCATGGTCTGCCATAGCCCTAATGTTCCTTGATTTCTTAACTATGGTTAAGATGCTAAGACCACCGTGTGGGCTTGTGTGGTCCTTTCTCTTTTCTCCCAAGCAAAATTCCCCTTTCCTTTCTCAACTGTTAGAGTCACATCCTTTGCTAAGTGGAATAGCTTGTTTATCGAATAAGTGATTAAGGAGATACAGTGGTGCCTCGCATACCGAGCGCCCCGTTTAACGATGAATCCGCATAGTGATGGAGTTTTTGCGATCGCAAAAGCGATCGCATTGCGATGTTTTAAATGGGGGAAATCGCTTTGCGATGATCGTGGGGAAGCGCTTCCCACGATCATCCCAAAGGCCCCCCGAAAGAGAGCCCCGAAGCACAGGTGATGGGCGGGTGTTTGCAAAGACCGCGGGGAAGCCAGCTTCACAACCCCCCGCTGACTTCGGCGCTCTCTCTCTCTCTCCCCCCCCTCGCAACTCCAGCCTGGGCAGGGAGACTCAGTCCCCCTGGCCGTGGCGGCGCGGTGCCTCAGTCTCCCTGCCCAGGCTGGACCTGCAAGGGGCGGAGAGAGAGAGAGAGAGAGAGCCGAAGCACAGCTGATTGGCAGTTCCAAAATGGCCGCCTGCTGTGTTGCCTCGTTTTAGAGGCACTGAAAATGGCGGCAGGATGGAGGATTTTCGCTTAAAGGTGAGTTTTTTCCCCATAGGAACGCATTAAACGTGTTTTAATGCGTTCCTATGGGGTTTTTTGCCCCACATAGCGACGAATCTGTATAGCGATGATTTTTTTGGAACGGATTATCGTTGCTATGTGGGGCACCATTGTACTCAGTTTGCTGTGTGCCTTTGTGTCCTCAGTTTTTATAATACCAGTTTCAAATGCATGTTCTGGACATCTCTTGCATTTTCTTTAAAGTGATGACATAACAAGGTAATTGTTGTCATAAACTTTTATGTTCGGTCCACATAAAGAATTTTTGTCATGATGAGCAGTGGGCTCTGAGCTTCTACAAGCCCTGCTGAAATTGCTGGGGCCTGTGATGATAAGAATAGTTTGAGATTAGAAGGGAAATCAGTAAAATAGTAAGCAGCTGCTCAAGACTTGCTCTGCTGAAGCATGCCTTTATGCTTCGCTAGCTAAGACGTTTCAATTTATAATGTTTATGTGCTTATTTATATTTTGCTAGGTCAATTGCTGACTGGCTTCGAGCTCCAGACACGATGTATTTGTTGGATTTTGTGAAGCCAGAATTTCTTTTATTAAGGGTAGGCTTATGCTTTGATTTTGTTTCCTTCTTTGACGATGCAAGATATTTCAAGTAGAATAATTGCATGCACTGTTGCATTGTTGCTCTTAAAGTTGTTCTTGTGTGTTATCTGCTGAATGTCTTAGTCTGAGCACTCATTTAGATGCTCCCGCTTTAAGTGATTCTCTTTTTTTTCTTGTTCTGTGCTAGCTTCTAACTGCAAACACCTCTTAGCTTAGGGCTGCCGTGCATACTCCAAAGTTCCATTTACAGCTGTGCCCATCAGATGTTTAATGTGCAATAATAAAAAATCACATAGGTGTGGTCATCACTTGATAATTTACATTCAAATTGCCCTTGAATCACAGCCTTGATTGCCATGTAAAAAATAATTTAGTGATTTTCAGTATCATAAGTTTAACTGATAAAAACGTTTACAGCATGGAAATCTGATTGGAAAGTATAGGAATTTCTGTAGTTGGATTGAAAGTATGTGTAGGGGTGTTTTGGTCCACCCAGCATGGGAAGTCATTAGGAATACCACCCCATGGTACTAGACCACTCTCTGGGCAGCTTACAACATAATTATGTAAAGAACAACATATTTCCCAGTGAGCTGCGTACTCATTTTATCAACCTCAGATGGCTGGAAGGGTGACTCAACATTGAGCCAGCTATCTGAGCCCATTGGGATTTAACCCAGGTCGCAAGTAGAGGCTTGACTTCAATACTGCAGTATAACTACTGAGCCATGGGGCTCCCCGAGTATTATCATTAAATAAAATTAGCTGAAATGTCACAGTTCATGGATCCTGCATTTCAGAATATAACTCTTGGGAATCTGCCAGATCCATGGGAGGCCAATGGGACACCCCACACATTATGAATAGGTCTTAAAAGCCTGTTGTACACACTTACCAAGAAGTCCATGATTTCTACCTTGCTTGGATTTACTGCAGTTTGGACTTTCTCGACCAACTCATCCTGTTTTCAGAGCACACTAGAAAATGTTTACTTTCTCTTTTTTTAACTTGATGCCAATTATTCCTTTGTTTGTTTGAAGACACTTGCTCGATGCTTGATTTTGTGGGATGACATACTGCCTAGTTCCAAGTGGATTGACAGCAACGTTCCGCAAGTAAGTAGCACAAGCCCCACAAGCCTGTTATGTGATGTCATTGGATTTTGGATTTGCAGGCTTTAGGGAAAGGTTCCTACATCACATCGTCTGCTGAGGCTCCCTTGTGTATCTGTCACAGAAATCCCATGCCCCTCCCCTCAAGGAGAACAAGTCATATTCATTCTCAGATCTCATGAAGCTCAGTGGAGACTCGTTGTTGCCTATCCATAAGCAAAGAGCTCATCCTGAGTTTTACTGATTTCTCCCCTCCCCTTGAGCCACCTCTTGTGTTGTCCCATGATGTCTCCCAATCCTCTGGAACAGATTTGGAGGGGGGTTATAGGCTGGTGCAGCTGCTAAAAAGTGCCACCTCTTTTTACACTGGTGAAGATGCTCTTTGAATCAATGTACTCTGCAGACAGGAGGAGCCCTCCTAGTTTTAGAAGGCAAGATCTGAATTCAGTGTAGTAATTTAGATAAACAGGACTAACAGCTTGGTATGCTCCTACTTGTAGAAGTCAAGTTCAGATAAGTGTTCCTTAATTCAAGGTTTTTATTTACTTTACTTTACTTTACTTTACTTTAGTAATTTAGATAAACAGGACTAACAGCGTGGTATGCTCCTACTTGTAGAAGTCAGGTTCAGATAAGTGTTCCTTAATTCATGGTTTTTATTTATTTACTTTACTATCCTGCCCAACTGATAGTAGAACCACTACTCTGGATGACTAACAGAGGAGCATCAAAATAACATAATAATAGATATAAAAACAAAAAGACATTTTTTAAAAAGTCCGGACAAGTTCAGGAAAAGGTTCATGATAAACATGATCCCTAAAAGTACAATACTGCTATGCACAGAACAATTATATAAAAGATAAAGGTAGTAAAAATAACAGGCGGCCAGCTAATTCAGAGAAGTTGTCAAAAAACAGAAATGAAAATTAATGAAAAATTAATTAAAGATTACGCAGCCTGGGGCAAGGCTATGAAAAGGCTTAAATTGCCTCCTAAAATAAAAAGGAGGGATGGGGCCAATCACATCTCTAATGGGAGGGAATTACAAAGCAATGTGGCCATATTACTTCTTCTCTTTATCAATCTATTAAAAGGGTCTCAAAACATGGAATGCTTATACTCCAAAATAAGACATAACCTGAAAATATGAGCCTACCCGGCCGTTAAGATCTAGTTATCAATCTATTAAAAGGGTCTCAAAACATGGAATGCTTATACCCCAAAATAAGATATAACCTGAAAATAAACCCTAGTATGATTTTTCAGGATGCTTGTAATATAAGTGCTACCACAAAAATAAGCCCCAGTTAAGTGAAACCCTGCCCTCCACCACTGTGCAACAACCAGAAGAAGATGTCATGACTGTATTCGAATAAACGTAGATTGTTGTACATGAAAAAAAATTCCCTGAAAATAAACCCTGATGCGTTTTTTTGGAGCAAAAATTAATATAAGACCCTGTCTTATTTTTGGGGAAACACGGTAGTTGAATAATAAATACACTATTATTCCAGTGGTCTCATTTCAAGGCATGTGTAAACATCCAATGTTAAAGCTTTATATCTTTGTTAGGGATGGGGACTTGCAAATAAAAGCAAATGACCAAAAAATGTAAGAGACTCTTTTTTCTGTTTTTGTCTGTGTTTCTTTTTGTTGTTGTTGATTTCTGAAAAAGAACTTCTTTAACAGAAATGATTCATTTAAACAAAAGAGGGGCACATGAAAGTTTCATGTCCTTTTGTGTTGCCCTCTTTGTTGTAGCCTTTCTCTCACCTTTTTTGTCTGTCAAAATGCCAGGAAATTTCTCATTGAATAGTGTTGTGAGATTTGTTGGCAGCAGTCAATTAGAATATCCAGAAGCAAGGAAGATGAGTATTCTGAACCTATAGAAAGTCCTCCATTGGCTAGAGTCCCACTGAGGGGAAGTTCTTTGCTTCTGTCATTCTTGTGGGAATCTGTATGCTATCTTCTGATGCCCTCATCCTGCTTCCTTGCCTGCAGGAGTCAGAAGAGAAGGCATCAAATGGTAGTGAGAGAGAAATCTCCCCATAATTTTGGTTTGGGGTATGGCTATGATTGTATGTTTTTCCTTTATTTGCTTGCTTGCTTTTCTTTATTTTTGGGCGAGGGGGCTCTCTATTTTTATTGTTGTTTTCCCTGTATGTGGATGGGTGAGTGCTTTCCCTGTTTGATTGATTTTTAAAAATTGTTACTTGGTTCATTTGCTGTGCATTTATTCTGCAAATTTTAAAAATTATATTTCCTACATATTGTTGCTTGCTCTTGGAGCAGATTGATTCTCAGTTTCCTGCTTTTTTGCCACTGCTTGTTTGGAATACTGTAGTTTAAATAGTTTTACGGCTTTTGACCTACTTAAGTGAGGAAACATGAATGGGGAAAAATGAAGTGAAAGGACTCAAAATACCTGGTTCTTTTTGTATTAAATGAAACATCCAGTGCACGCGCCCCCCCAACACAAATGAAAAAGAAGGGGACAGCCCAGCAAAGGAACTTGGAAAAACATACAAACAAGGAAATGTTCGCCCTGCATATTTCTAATCTTTGGCCCGACTGAAAAATCTCAGAACATGAATCTGATACTGTTAAGATTAACTCTGTTGCATAACTTTAATAAGAGAAATATGGCTGGTATAAAGTTGCAGAAGACTTTGTGGAACTGTGAAAGATTGCTTAAATATGTTGTGTTTCTTCTAGATTGTTAGAGAGAACAGTGTGTCCCTCCATGCAACAGTGATGCCTTTGTCAGAAGATTTGAATTTGGAGACACTGACGTAAGTTGTTGCGTGGGGTTGATTCCAGCTCTCCAATTCTGCTCTGTAGATGCAGTCAAAACAGAGGGCGGACAGTTGCTTTTAAGAAGCAGTTACAATAGTGTAAAACCTCACCACAGTGAGATGACCCCTTGTTGTGTTACAGTTGCAATGTAATTGAATTACACCTTAGTTATTGTAAAGAAATGGATTGCAACATGTGGTTTTCAACTAGTATTTTCCAAGATGTTTAAATTTAAGAACTTTGGCACAGGAAAAGCCTCCTTTCCCTCGCTGGGCCTTTTAGAGGGGTTCAGCGGGGGTTCCTGCTGGGATTCTTGAGCAAGCCCCAAGCAAATGGGTGACCCCTGAAAAATCTCAGCAGTGACTCATTAATTGCCAGCTAAAAGAGACTGAATATTATGCCATTTGCCTTCTGCACGTGTAGGAAAGCAGGATTTCAGCCGTGGTTTAATATTAATATTAATGTCAAATATTTATATTTAGGCAGGCTTATGTCTACATCATTGCTGGTGCCTGCCTGTCTTTGGGTTTCCGATTTGCTGGATCAGAAAACTTGGCTGCCTTTAACTGCTTGGTAAGTGGATTGATAGCTATAGAAGAATTTAACCTAATACATTCTCTAGGCATTATACAATCATTTTAAAACAATAATATAATAAATAGTCTTGGATGACCAGCCATTCTCTCTGGTTGAGAACACCAATGTCCGCAGGTTTGTGGCAGAACTGTCATCCTATTACTAAAAGTCATCTCAAACAACTTTTTGCTGTAGGATGATGCCACATTTGCATGGGGGTGTCAGACAGTTGGTACAGCAGCTGTTGGCCAGAGTGCAGGCAGTACATTTTACAGGTGACATCTGGAACACCCTGACAAGACGCTGATGGGAGGTGGAGGTATCAGGCACAGAACAACCCACAAGGGCAGGATACAGGTGGGCTGTTGAATGTGATGGAGATGATACAGCTCACAGCATGTCAAGAGTCTCTGAAGGACCTGCTGCAGCCCTGAAATTTAGCTACAGAAAAGCAAAGTCTGTTTGTCACAGACCATGTTGGCAGCACTGCAAGCTGGGAACAGAAAAGGAGTGCAGTGTATGGCTCACCCTTTCAACCTAAGTCGTTCAGGGTGCTTTGTAGGGCATGGAAGACGCATACAGAGCTAATAGAATTGAGCGGTCCAGAAAGGTGGCAGGGCATTTTCACCGCAGGGTCTGGGGCAGTCAACTCTTGTAACTGAGACCAGGAAAACTGGGATTGCCACCTAATCGAGGATGTGGCAACTCAGTGGGACATTGCTTTCTATCTGCTTGAAAGAGTGCTAGAGCAGCAAAGGACGCTCCATGGTTTGGTCCGGGAGACGTCCGATGGTGTGGCTGCTCCTTTGGATAGAGAAGAGTGAGGCATTATGGGTTAAGTGGTCTGTGTCCTCCAAAGCTCTGAAAGTGCAACATGTTTCCTTAGGGAGGAGACAGCAGTCCTTAGCCAGGCGATCCCAGTGATCCAGGGCTTGGTTGCCATGAAGAGGGGACAGTCTGGTGGATGGGAGGTTCTATAGAGGGAGAATCGCTTTTTTCTGCCCTGACACAGGGTAGCTCTGGCCAGCAAGCCAAAAGACCTGCTCCATTTGCTGAATTGCCGCCTTATGGGAAAAAGTGGCATATGTTTACAGCACCCCAAACAACAGTGCCAGCAGTTGCATTTTGGAGTCTCTCCTTCATCTCTGAAACAACTGGGCAAGCTTTTGGGGGGGGACACTGCCTTGACAAGCACGGGTAGGGCCTGTCGTCTAGAGGCACCTCCCCAGAGGAAGGACACGGCAGAGCCAGAGGTGCTGCACGCCAAAAGAGAAACATTCCCTTCTCTTCTTGGGCTGAGAAGGAGTCAGTTTGGGGAGGTCTGGCCAAGGGGACAGTGGGATGGCTGTCTTGCCCATCACCTAGTGTGCCCGGTGAGAGAGTGTTCTCTCCGGCAGGGGACGCGGTCCGTCTCCACCATTCAAACCTGGATCTGTAGAAAAAAACTACTTTTCTTAAGGTCAACCTACCATTGCTCAGCTTCCTTGAAGTTCTCTTTAAGGAAGGGTTTCCGATTTGCTGGATCAGAAAACTTGGCTGCCTTTAACTGCTTGGTAAGTGGATTGATAGCTATAGAAGAATTTAACCTAATACATTCTCTAGGCATTATACAATCATTTTAAAACAATAATATAATAAATAGTCTTGGATGACCAGCCATTCTCTCTGGTTGAGAACACCAATGTCCGCAGGTTTGTGGCAGAACTGTCATCCTATTACTAAAAGTCATCTCAAACAATTCTTTGCTGTAGGATGATGCCACATTTGCATGGGGGTGTCAGGCAGTTGGTACAGCAGCTGTTGGCCAGAGTGCAGGCAGTACATTTTGCAAGTGACATCTGGAACACCCTGACAAGACACTGATGGGAGGTGGAGGCAACACACAAAGGCAGGATACAGGTGGGAAGAACGACACACTTTGTTCTAGATATGCCCTGCTCCAGTCCGCTACGCCTTCCTTCTGCCACCTCCTATCTTCCAACTGCTGCTCCAGGAGGGTGATCACGCACTCAGCGGTGCTGTAGGCTGTTGGCACAGTTCCCACCCATCACAGGTCCTTAGCTACAGAAAAGCAAAGTCTGTTTGTCACAGACCATGTTGGCAGCACTGCAAGCTGGGAACAGAAAAGGAGTGCAGTGTATGGCTCACCCTTTCAACCTAAGTCATTCAGGGTGCTTTGCAGGACATGGAAGTCACGTACAGATCTAATAGAATTGACCGGGCCGGAAAGGTGGTAGGGCATTTTCACCGCAGGGTTTGGGGCAGTGAGCTCTTGTAACTGAGACCAGGAAAACTGGGATTGCCACCTAATCCAGGATGTGGCAACTCAGTGGGACATTGCTTTCTATCTGCTTGAAAGAGTGCTAGAGCAGCAAAGGACGCTCCATGGTTTGGTCCGGGAGACGTCCGATGGTGTGGCTGCTCCTTTGGATAGAGAAGAGTGAGGCATTATGGGTTAAGTGGTCTGTGTCCTCCAAAGCTCTGAAAGTGCAACATGTTTCCTTAGGGAGGAGACAGCAGTCCTTAGCCAGGCGATCCCAGTGATCCAGGGCTTGGTTGCCATGAAGAGGGGACAGTCTGGTGGATGGGAGGTTCTATAGAGGGAGAATCGCTTTTTTCTGCCCTGACACAGGGTAGCTCTGGCCAGCAAGCCAAAAGACCTGCTCCATTTGCTGAATTGCCGCCTTATGGGAAAAAGTGGCATATGTTTACAGCACCCCAAACAACAGTGCCAGCAGTTGCATTTTGGAGTCTCTCCTTCATCCCTGAAACAACTGGGCAAGCTTTTGGGGGGACCCTGCCTTGACAAGCACAGGAAAGGGCCTGTTGTCCAGAGGCACCACCCCAGAGGAAGGACACGGCAGAGCCAGAGGTGCTGCACGCCAAAAGAGAAACATTCCCTTCTCTTTTTGGGCTGAGAAGGAGTCAGTTTGGGGAGGTCTGGCCAAGGGGACAGTGGGATGGCTGTCTTGCCCATCACCTAGTGTGCCCGGTGAGAGAGTGTTCTCTCCGGCAGGGGACGCGGTCCGTCTCCACCATTCAAACCTGGATCTGTAGAAAAAAACTACTTTTCTTAAGGTCAACCTACCATTGCTCAGCTTCCTTGAAGTTCTCTTTAAGGAAGAGAGAACGGCACACTCTGTTCTAGGTATGCCCTGCTCCAGTCCGCTGCGCCTTCCTTCTGCCTCCTTCTATATTCCAACTGCTGCTCCATGAGGGTGTTCACACACTCAGCTGTGCTGTAGGCTGTTGGCACAATTCCCACCCATCACAGGTCCTATACTGTCTGCCTGCCAGCGCTGCCCACTCCCCACTGTGATGTGTCTTCTGTTTCCCCAGTTAAGCTGGGGCATTTCCTGCTGGCATTCTTGCTGTTCCGGGTTCAATCAATATGCCCATGACAGTCATTTCCTAGTATCAAGGCAATGCTGGCTGTTGGTGTCCACTCTTTGTTTGGTACAATCAGTGGGAAAATGTCAGTGTTTTGCCTCTTTTCTTTTAAAGGGGAAAATCATCACTGGATAGGATTCATATTGACTGTAACTGAGTTCTAAATTATCCAAAAATCCTAAATTTTTAAAATTCTGATTTCCAAATCCAAAGTCCTGTAATTCTGGATCTGAATCTGAATTTTGGTGCTAGTGGACATCCCTAATTTTTAGCAGGGTGGTCTTCAGATATCTCATCAGGTGCTCTGAAAGAAAGATTCAGAGTATTTTCTTATGGATGGGAATAAGAGAAGAATGAATGACTTTTATGCTTGAGACTGAAGCTTGACTCCCTGCTCTAGAGCTGTGTTTTGCCCCGTCTTAATGCATGATTGTTCTGAATTATTTCTAGTTTGCCTTTGCGAAAGATTTCATGAAGTGTTTATCTTCGGCTACAGCTTCCATCGTAAGTTTCTGCAGATTCACTCTTAGTAATAGTGAAACTTGAGATTTTATTCTGTGGTCCCAGCTGGGGTTTTTACTAAGTTGTCATCCCCATGCACTGCAGCATTGGGTGTCAGAAATTGTGTGTTTATATTGCCTTTGTTCTCAATGATGGGTAAGGGCTTAGAGTGCCAAAACTGTACAGTGGTGCCCCGTATAGCAACATTAATCCGTTCCAGGATTAACGTCGCTATACGGAAACATCGTAAAGCGAAATAAAAAAGCCCATTGAAACGCATTAAAACCCGGTTAATGCGTTCCAGTGGACTAAAAACTGGCAGGGACAGGGTGGGTGGGGGATCCCGAAGGCTTCCAGGCAAAAGCCTGGAAGCCTTCGGGACTCCTCCCCCCTGTCCCCGCCGCCCCGCGCTGCCTTCCCTAGCCGAGATCGGACTCCCAGGAGCCCGATCCAGGCTGGAGAAAGCGGCGGGGGTGGCTGCCAGCGAAGGGGACAGCGATTTTTCCCCATAGGCAACATCGGTATGCGATCGCTTTTCCGATCGCAAAATCCGCATCGGTAAGCGGATTTGTCGTTAAACGGGGCACTCGTTATACGAGGCACCACTGTATAGTCTGCTGCTATGTTTATAGATTATGACTAATCCTTGAAAAATTATTTTTGGGATGCCCCTTCCAGAATCTCCCAGTAGTCCAGAAAACTAACTTTTTCAAATGGATACAAGGGTAGCAACATCCTTCTAGTCTTGCTTCCCACGGGCTTATATTTAGAGACGGTCTCACTAGTACAGAGATGTTGGTGGTGAAAATATGTCTCCCTACCATGTCTAGAATTGCTCACCTTGAGCTGTATGCTTTGGATTCAGTGTCACACTTGAGTTCATAGTCCTTTCACACACAAAACCTGTCCCTGGTTTACTCTCACCTACTTCTGCCATTTTGAAACCCTAATTTCCAATGAATAGTAAGAGTGCTGCTATTATATTATTAGAAGTGGAAACCCTTGTGCGTATCCAGTGCATATCACATAGATCTGCCAGCCGATCCTGATACGCCTTTTGCCTGTGCTTGGTTTAGATAGCCTGTCAGTGGGACAAATGCATATGCAGGTGGCAAAGCTGGTGTGAGATTTCCATGTGGTTCTTCAAAGGTTGTAGCATGTGTGGGATTGAGTTGAAAGATAAGCTTTTTTAGAAAGGCTTTCCTCTGGGACTTGAAATCATATCTGTTGTCTATTTCAAACGTCTAAACAAAATGGAACTGACAGACCTCTGTCCTCTGTGTGTATTAAGGCCGGCCACTATAACTTGGAGACCTGTCTGAGTGTGGTGTTACTCTCCCTTGCAATGGTGATGGCCGGATCTGGCAACCTGAAGGTCCTCCAACTTTGTCGTTTCATGCACAAGAAGACTGGCGGGGAGATGAACTATGGATTCCATATGGCCCACCATATGGCACTTGGGCTCCTCTTTTTAGGAGGGGGGAGGTAATTGCTTCACGGATCACACCTTCCTCCTTAATGTTAACATGCGTATAATATATCGGGGTAAAAATCTCACCACGTGTTGCAATGATCAAAGAAATGTTGCCCTTGCATGTAATACGAGCTAAATTCGCTTTGAGTCACAAGGATACTTTTTGAATTTGTAGTGTTGAGCAATAGTGTTGACTAAGAAATTCCATTTGTTTTCTGCTCTATCAGGGTTTAAAATTGGATTTGTGTGCATACACATCCCTTCAAACAGGGGTATACATTTTTTTGTGGGCAATATTAATGGGCAAGCACAAAAGTTGATATTTGGGATAACCACCAGATTTTTTAAAACTCCATTTTTTGTTTTTTTTAAAAAAAGAAAACAAAAGTTTCCAGTTTTTACAGCTCAGAAGGAAAAAATGATATCAGAAACACAGAGAAGTGTCTAATAAAACCTTGAATGCCAGACAAGGACAGAGCAGAGACTTCAGTGGTAAAAATGGAACTTTTCTGCTTTGTACAATTCCATGTTTTAGTCTTATGATAGGATCAAATTACCAAGTTTTTAGATGCATAGCAAATATATCCTTGTACAGAGTACAATAAAATAGCATGTGCTGCAGGGATTCAACCACTCCCTGACCACACGGGCAGAGTCTCAGTTCTATTGGTAAACCCTTGTACCTGCCCTGCACTATGCTCGATGGTACTATATTGCATCTGGCAAGGGTAAATGCCACATCCCTTCAAACAGGGGTGTACATTTTTTTTTGTGGGCAATATTACTGGGCAAGCACAAAAGTTGATATTTGGGTTTAACCACCAGATTTTTAAAAACTCCAGTTTTTGTTTTTGTTTTTAAAAAGAAAACAAAAGTTTCCAGTTTTTACAGCTCAGAAGGAAAAAATGATATCAGAAACACAGAGAAGTGTCTAATAAAACCTTGAATGCCAGACAAGGACAGAGCAGAGATTTCAGTGGTAAAAATGGAATTTTCTGCTTTGTACAATTCCATGTTTTAGTCTTATGATAGGATCAAATTACCAAGTTTTTAGATGCATAGCAAATTACACAAGAAATATATACATATATGCAAACATGTTTAGTAAACATGAGCTAGTGGAGAGAGGGCCATACCTCATGGTGGAACACACAAATGTAGGTTTAATCCCAGTCGTGTCCTGGTCAAAAGGGTGTCAGTTAATAGTAAAGACATTTCCAAGAGACATTATTTTATTTTATTTACGTATTATTATTATTATTATTATTATTATTATTATTATTATTATTATTATTATTATTATTATTATTATTATTATTATTATTATTATTATTAATTAATTAATTAATTATATACCCTGCCTATCTGGACTACCAGACCACTCTAGGCGGCTTATTAGAACATGGTATTAGAACATGGCTGCCTGATAGATTAAATAGCACTGGATTAGTTGAGGCAGTGGACCAATTTCAGAGTTTGGCATTCTCCTAGCTTTTCTTTGTCATTGTGATGCTGTTACCTGGGTATGGATTTTAGGAAAGGACATCACCCCATACATCCTTAAAGAAGGGTTGATGAATAGGCAACCTGGTGTTCTCTATGTGTTGTCGTGCTACACCTGCTGTCATCCCTAACTACTGGCCTTAGTAGCCAGGACTGATGGCAGGTGTTGTTGGCAACCCATCGGAAGGGCCTCCATGGTCTTTATTGACTCGTGAAAAACGTGGCTGTGTTTCTCTGCAGGTACTCCCTGAGCACTTCAAATTCTTCAATCGCTGCTCTTCTTTGTGCACTGTACCCTCACTTCCCTGTTCACAGTACTGACAACAGGTAAGGCCTAACCAGCTGCAATGGTAAAAACAAAATGTGTAAAATGTATTTGGATGATGCGCCTTGCAGTTGGATGAGCTTCCCCCCCCCCCAACTTCCAAGATGTGAGATACAGTCAGATTAAGCATGGACTCTTAAAATCTTCACACAGTAATTGTGATGGTCTAGTGACAAATTGTTCACTTGATGTTTGTACCAGGTTTCCAGCTTGGACATGCTTTTCAACAAGTGTAACAAAGAAGGAAGGGGGGGTAGAAGAGGGTCTAGGGAAGTTATTGCACATGCGTTAGTTAGAATCTCCCTTAAGAAATTTTTTTCCATCATGCAGTGGTTCCCAACCTTGGATATCCAGATGTTCTTGGATTAAAACTCCCAGAAGCTTTCACTACTCGCTGTCCTGGCCAGGATTTGTGGGAGCTGCAGCCCAAGAATATCTGGGGAACCAAGGTTGGGAACCACTGTCATAAATGTATGGTATGAAAAAGAGAGAGAGCAGACTTTGAAATGCTGGTTTCGGGAAAATTCCCTTTAGCTTCTGGGAGGTAAAGTCACCACCAACACTCTACAGGCATTTAAAAAAGGTTAATCTGAGCATGTCAGCGGATAGAGTGTTTAGCCCTCCACCTGCCTCTTGCTGCCTTCTGTGGCCTGAAGAGAAAAGATTCTGCTACATCTGGAGTCCTGAAAAATCAGATTATTTCATTTTTGGACTATCCAAAAATGTGAAGACAGCGAAAGGCAGGGGAGTGCTAGAACTCTGTCTGCTCATGCTTTCAAACTTCCCCTTTTCTGAACACCTGAAGAGGCCTTTGCTAACCACAGAATTCAGTTGAATAAATCTGTGTGGTCTGTGCAGTCTGCCCGATAAGATCCTGCAATGCTTGTGTGATTTCATTTACCAAAAGAATCAAGATTTCTGAGCTGTCTCTGATTTCCTTACATCCTGAAGTGGCTTCAAATGGAACCATAATATAATAAAACAGTGCATGTTCTATAAGCTTTCAAGGGCATTCAGAATAGTGCATGACTTGGAGAAACTCACATTTTCAGTTAATTAGGCATCTTTCAGTCTCGAGAGACTATGGTAACGTGCTCTGTATGGAGGACTTGGAACAGCATCTAGTGTGGCTGAGAAGGCCAATTCGAGAGTGACAATCCCTTCCACACTGAAGACAAGTACAATCTGTCCCCTGACCAGCTCCCTGGTTTTGCTGCTTTCATGACTGCCTCTTTGCCTCGGCCTGCTAGACAACTATCTCTTCAAATTGGGAGAGGCCATGATGCACCGCCTGCCTCCAGGCTGAATACTCAGAGGTTAAGGTTTCCCATCTGTTGATGTCCATTCCTAATGCCTTCAGATCTGCTTGCAGATATCCTTGTATTGCAGCTATGGTCTCCCTCTGGGGCGCTTTCCCTGCACTAATTTCTCCACACAGGAAATCTTTTGGAATCCGACCATCAGCCATTCTCACAACATTCTCACTAACTTCCTAATATATGTCAGTGTTAAGGCTTGATTTTACTATAGAAAGATAATTTTGTAGGGTGGGGAATCACCACAGAGAAAGCTAATTCCTTTGACACCACAAATCAGCTGTTTGCACGTCTTTCCATGCTGTTGTAATGTCCCGAAAGATTGATTGTAAGACATTCTTTGAGCTACAGTGGGGTCTTGACTTGAGAACTTAATCCGTATTGGAAGGCGGTTCTCAAGTCAAAAAGTTCTCAAGTCAAATCTGCATTTCCCATAGGAATGCATTAAAAACCATTTGATCCGTATCTGCTCTTTTCCGTCCATAGAAACTAATGGGAAGCTGCTATTCTGCCTTCGACCACTAGAGGGGGATATTTTGTTTCTTTTTTTCTTAGGTCAAGAAAGGTTCAGGGAAGGCAGGGAAAATACAGTCCAGGCAGGACAGTACCAGGCAGTCTGAAGACTGTCTCCCAATCCACTCTCTAAACGCTGGGAGGAGTGAGGAAGCAGACAGGCACCCTTTTCACTGGCCAACAGTTAACTGAAAGTTCAAATTTTGCACTTTCCCTGCCTCCCACGTGGTTTGTAGGGTGGGGAATCACCACAGAGAAAGCTAATTTCTTTGACACCACCAATCAGCTGTTTGCACATCTTTCCGGACTATTGTAATGTCCCGAAAGATTGATTGTATGACATTCTTTGAGCTGCTTGATTTTTAGTTTTATAGGACCTTGTTTTGGAATATTAGAACCTTAATATAGTAGCCAAATGGCATCTTATGCAGATCCTTCAACACAGGTATAACATGTCTGCAATAATACACCCCCATCTGGAAAATACCATAGGACTCCCTTATCTGTGGGAGCAGTGTCCACTGATTCACTTATCCATGAGTTTTATAGGACCTTGTTTTGGATTATTAGAACCTTAATATAGTAGCCAAATGGCATCTTATGCAGATCCTTCAACACAGGTATAACATGTCTGCAATAATACACCCCCATCTGGAAAATACCATAGGACTCCCTTATCTGTGGGAGCAGTGTCCACTGATTCACTTATCCACTGTCTGAAAATATTAAAATATTAAAAGAAAAATCCTTTAAATATATATTTCTAACAATGAAGTTACCAGAACTGGCCACTAGAGTGTGTCAGAGACCATGCTATGTATAGCAGTGATCCCTAACCTTGGGCCTCCAGAGTTACAATAGCATTCGCTAAAATCCACATTTTTCAGTATCCGCGGGGGACTTGGAACTGATCATCCATCGATATGGGAGTCCTTCTGTAAAACCGCTGCATTCCTCACTAGCTGCAGGAGCTTCTCCTGTTTCTCAGCTCTACATAGAATGCGTCAAAGTAATCCAGCCTCAGAATAACCAATGTAAAGGCCATTGTAAATTTGTAACCTTTTGTTGAAGCTTTGAACGGAACACCCGTGGTCCTCTTCCATGTCTAAAATAAGAGGCTGAGTTTGGAAAACCTGAGCCAGGACAGTGGCAGGGAAGAAGTTATTCTACTCCACTGTCCCCATGCTAGAAAGCAATTATCCACTTCTTAGTAAGATTACAGTCGTGCCCCGCTTAACGATTGCCGTGCATTACGACAAATCCGCTTTACGACAATGTTTTGCGATCGCAAAATGATGGTCTAAATGGGGGAATTTCGCTTAGCGATGATCGGTTCCCTGCTTCGGGAACCGATTTTTGCTTTACGACAATCAAAAACAGCTGATCGTAGGGTTTTCAAAATGGCTGCCGGGTGCTAAAAAATGGCTCCCCGCTGTGCTTAGGGACGGATTCCTCGCTATACAGGCACTGAAAATGGCCGCTGTATGGAGGACCTTCGCTGGACGGTGAGGTTTTAGCCAATTGGAACGCATTGAACGGGTTTCAGTTCGTTTCGATGGGTTTTTAAATTTCGCTTTACGATGTTTTCGCTTAACAGCGATTTTCCTGGAATGGATTGTCGTCGTTAAGCGAGGCACCACTGTATAGCAGAGTAGAGGGAGCACATTATTAGCATTTCCTAGTCTGGCCTTTAAGTAGCAGAGTACAGAGAGCACGTTATTAGCATTTCCTAGTCTGGCCTTTAAGGGTTGGGGAAAATGTTTATCTAAGCACGGCTTCTTCTGTGCATTTCAAAAGATAGGTGGGTATCTGTGGAAAGAGATGTTACATGAGCTGTTGTCCTTACCTGCAGGTACCGTGCATTTCAAAAGATAGGTGGGCATCTGTAGAAAGAGATGTTCCATGAGCTGTTGTCCTTACCTGCAGGTACCATCTTCAGGCATTGCGCCATCTGTACGTCCTCGCAGCTGAACCCCGGCTCCTTGTCCCTGTGGATGTGGATACTGATACACCTTGCTATGCACTCCTTGAGGTTATGTACAAGGTAGATGGATTTTGGAATGGCCAAAGGACTTACAGAAGGAAGGGAACAATGGAGGCTATGTTGTTCTTTGAAACGTAGGGAGAGGATAGCCCTGGGAAGCAATGCCCTGTTAAAATGTCTACTTCAGTATTCCTTGGCCAGGTCACATTCTCTGGTGTTGCCGAACAAGGAGAACTCCAAACTCTTGCCTTTGACTAGATGGGCAGTATAGAAATCGAATGAATGAATGAATAATGCAAAGAATGGGAAATCACTTTTGCAGCTTCAAGGAGAGTCATTAAATGTTCTTCAGACTACTAAATTTCAGAGCAGGATAGTTCTGTGCTGCTTTCAAAGAAAATAGGGCGAAATCTTCTAAGCTCCTTCCCCAGTTAAGTTGACCAAACTATTATTTAGCTGGAATCATTTTGAACTTTTGTTGCAGGGGTAGATAGGTACCAAAGGGTTATTACCTCTTCTTTTTTAAAAAAACTATTTTGGGCTTGAAATATTATATAGACTGAGAAACAGTTTAAATATCCAGTCATAGCCTTTGGATGGTTTAAGGGTTTCCGTGTCCATTTTTAGGCAACCATGCTGTTTTCAGAATGAGGAGCTTGTCGGGCATCCAGAAGTACTGTTGGGGGGAAGCTTAAGTTCTCATGGAGGTTCTGGTGGATTATATGTGACAAATGGCCACCCCTTTGCTCGTTAATGGTGGATGCAATGTAACAGCAGCCCTAGTGAGCTGAATGTTGAAGAATTATCCTTGCCTGTTTCCTTCTAGCCTTCGATAATTCTGAACTAAATCAAATGGAATAAAACAGTTCCCATGTTGCTATCCTAACAATAAGGGCCAGGACTAGAAATCAGTGGGTGGGAGGGACACATGCCAGTCTTTCAAATCTAGCCCTCCTGGTGTGTTCTAAACTAAAACTCATCATCCCCAGCAGTAACCAAATGATGATGCTGGCTGGGGATGATAGTCCTTACACATCTGGCAGGTCTACACCATCAGAATCCATGTGCCGATCGCGTGCTTTCCTCCCACTCCATATCAAAATAATAATTTTGGGATGAAGCATTTGTTTTTTCCTTTCCAAGGGAACTCAGTGGTATGAAGAAACCACCGAAGAACTCATGGCACCTACTCTTCTCCCGGAGCTTCACTTGTTGAAACAGGTAAATAAACCAGTTTCTTAACAGGAAATACTGAGCAGGGTTGTCTTTTCCCTCTTGCAGCAGTCCGTTGCATGAGTGGTTGGAGTCTTCCAGAGTTTGCCAAAGGGCTGTTTTGCTGCCCTGTTGCAGCGGAAGAAGCTCCATGGCTTTGAACACAGAAATCCCTGCTTATGGAGTAGTAAGCCTAGAGGTAGCCAGACATACCATCCATTCTCAACCAGGCTCCTGCCCTTATTTTTTTTGAAGTATTGATAAATGAACAAATAACTCAGTAAGTTTTCTAACCTTTCCTCTGCCCCAGCTGATATTCTATTCCTTTCCTTAGCCTCTCTGATGAGTGGGAACAAATTTGAATAAAGATAATTCTAACTGTATTTCTCTGGCATCAAGGGGGCAGCTTTGAAATGACTGATTGTTGATTAACTTTCAAGTGTTTGGGCATCAGCTATTTCAATCAATCAATCAATCAATACTTTTATTGGCATTAAAACCAGTAACCGTACAATCAAGATTATACTTTCCACTACAAGAAGATAAATATGGTCAAGTTACGTCAAGGCTCCTTGAAGCTGTCAGCCTAGTTTATTACAATAGCATGATATTCAGCTACACGCTCAGTCAGATCAGGTGATTTATCTGCTAACATCATTTGGATTAAGCTCTCAGGGGAGCCAGAGAAATTTCAGAGCTAAGTGGTAATTGATGGAGCTCGCTAAATTTAGGGCAGTGAAGAAGAATATGTGAAATTGAGTCCAGTTCCGCTAAGCAGTGCGTACACTGGCGGTACTTAAAGGGGATCTTACGATATCTGCCAGAAAGAACAGCTGAGGGAAAAATATTAAATCTGGCCAGGATAAATGCCCAGCACCACAGTGGGTTAATGAGATTGGTGAAATAACTGGCACCAGTTACAAAAAATTTGGGGCAAACCATAAAAATGAGGAGAGCAAATTAAATTCAAGTCATCTGCCAGAGTCTGAAGTTCAGTATCCCAAATTCTTTGGTGGAGAATATGGTAAAGTTGAGTTTCTCCACAATTAGTCAGGGAGTTCAGGTTAATATCTATGGAAGTGATTTTAGAGTTAATAAAAGAGTACCATGTGGAAATAAAGGGGCCACTTAATAAATCAGTCAAAAGGGACTGAGAAGATTTCTGAAAGTGTAAACGCAACTTGTTCTGACCTGAGACTATAGATGTGGTAGTGGGGGTCAGGTGGAAGAGGAACCCCATCGTTTCCAACTGTATCAGCGGCCCTGGGTGCTACCTTCAGCCTCTCTTGCTGCAGCTCATCGCTCACACTGTCTGTATGTAAAAAATGTGGCAGGCTTGATACGGGGGTGGTGGAGGAGAGCAGTCACTGCTTTGATCGTTTCAGCTAGTTTGTTCCTCTTCTTCAGACAAATGCTGCTCCTGATTTTTGCCAACCTGCATTGTGGTGAAAGGAGCTGAGAACGAGAGAAATGCACCTTTTAAAATACAGAACATCAATTCTAGCAATCCAGTACAATGGCGAAAGAATTGTGATAGGTCAGCCGAACACCGGGATTTATTTCTCCCCTGCCTCAGGGCATGTAGAAAAGCACTTCCGAAAATCCATAGGTGTGCGAATGGGATTTGGGATTTGGTTTGGAAGTAATACCACCCATTGTTCTTGGGATCCCATCCAGCCGCACCTATTGTAGCAATGGCTGCCAGCTGGGAAGACCTTAAAAGGAGATTGGTAAAATTCCTGCCTGATTGGTGACTATTAGTCATGATGGCCACATGCTCTGTATTCCACCTCTCAGGCTGGAGTAGATGGGGAAACAGAATGCGCGTCAGGATCAGTTGCCGGTGAGCATGAATGGGAGGGTGTTGTTGTGTTTATGACCTGGTTATGTCAACATAGTATGTATGCTGTTCCTAATAGTGCTGTTTGTTGTTGTTATTGCTACCCTGAGATGTTTGGTTAACCATCTTAGGTAAGAGAACACTGCACAAGATAAGAGTTGCAGTATAGCTCATCTTGTCTTCAGTATGTATCTGTTTATGTATAACCAAAACGTTTTTGTATTTCTAGATCAGAGTGAAAGGTCCTCGATACTGGGAACTCCTGATTGATTTAAGCAAAGGCCCACACCACTTAAAGTGAGTAATTAGGGTGAAGGCTTCACACAGGAACATAGTATTCTGGAAGTACTTTGTCGAGGCCACCTTAGTCCCCATCTACACCATCCTACAAACAAATTCTTGTTTGTAGTCATTGTCTAACTACTGTTGTCAAGCAAGCAGAGACGGTTCGTTCAACTTTGAAACTAGCAACAACCTTTGTTAAATGGCGCTAGCAATTCTCTTCTATACATACAGCTTATTTGAATTACTATATTTTGAAAACTAAAGCAGGTCAAAGAATCAGCTGTGGTCTGGTTGAACTGTAGGCTGTGCGGAATAAACATGCAAGTACAGTGGTACCTCGCTAAACGATGACCTCGCTAAACAATGAATCCGCATGACAATGACTTTTTGCAATCACTATAGCGATTCGCAAAACAGTCATTCCAATGGGAGATTTTCGCTGGATGTCGATTAGGTCCGTGCTTTGCGAACCGTTTGTTCGCAAGACGACGATTTTTTCAGCTTCGTAAAATGTCCGCCCTGTGTTTTCTGGACACATGCTTCGCAGGGCAGCCATTTTTACAACTGATCGGCACTCGCAAAATGGCTTCCCTATGGGTGATCTTTGCTGGGTACCGAGGTATTTTCCCTATTGGAATGCATTAAACTGGGTTTCAATGCATTCCAATGGGGAAAGGGTTTTCGCATGACTACTATTTTGCTAAACAGCGATTTTCACGGGACAATTTTGTAACGGCCTCCTTCTGCCTCACCAAGGAAGGTCGCTACGTCACTCCACTGTTACTCTTCTGGTAGTCTGCCACCAACCATCCCCTGCAATAAGTATCTTCAGGCCGGAATGGATTTCAAACAAAATAACTAAAGTTTATTGATTAGTACATTAAGATTGGTATAACAAATAAATCAGGTAATCACATAAAGAAAGGCTCTAGCTCACACAGACTCATATCTCCACACAATCTGATCACTATCTCATCTCAACACTCACAGATCCTGATCTGACCCTCACACACATTCACACCCCTCTATATCCCAGCTCCTCCCCCTGATGTCCCGCCTTCTGACCACCATTGGATGTTAACACTCCAGCCTAAACCTTGAAGGACAGGTGACATCATAGCTGTTTGTAACAGAGTGTGGGATAGTAATGATGATGTCCCCACGCACTTACAGTATTAAGAACAGTGATCAAAATTCTTCTGCAGTTCTATGTCTAGAACAAAGAGTGGGAATCCTCAGACAGTATAGACGCTAATTTTTTGCCGTCATGCACTGCACCAAGTCCAGAAATGTTTATCGTCATGCAAGGAACAGCGATCAAAACTCTTGCAGTTCTGCGTCTAGAACAAACAGTGGGAAACCTCAGACAGTATAGTGGCTAATTTTTTGCCCTCGTCATGCACTGCACCAAGTCCAGAAATGTCTGTGTCTGGCCATGGTTAAAATAAAAATGTAAACAGGAAATGCGGAATGGGTATTTCTGGTTTGTGTTTTGATTTTGGGGTTGGAGGTGATGTGGGGCTTAAGGGGTGAAGTTAAACAAGTCTAGATCTGATCTGTGCTGGGATGGGAGATTGCTTTCCTGAAGAAAGGAAGGATATACACAGGCCAAGTAATAAAATAAAATTCTACAGAAAAGAAGCAGTGCTTCACATAGGTATGCATAGGAGAGTACTGAGAGTGGAATTCTATATATTACCATACTTCATCCCAGTGCAACAAAGCATGGCTGCTGAAATATCAATAATCAAGTTGTACAGAGGACCATATATAATTTATAGCATTAAAACAAAAATGAATCCGGTCATTTTTCTTCCTACTTCCCCAGGTCAATTCTCTCAAAAGATGGTGTCCTGTATGTAAAATTGAGAGCTGGGCAGCTTTCCTACAAAGAGGACCCAATGGGCTGGAGAAGTTTGTTGGCGCAGACAGTAACTCACCGGAACACAGATGCCCATGCGTTCAAGGTAACCCCGGCGCCCCGTTACGTAAAGAATCTGAAAGCAGCTGCGTGTTGCTTTCTAGTCATAATGCAAATGCTGGTATTGGAAATAGTAGTTTTGGATATCATCTATGTATATTGGCAAGAATTTGTAACAAGACTTTCTAACAGAATGTTTAATTTCTTACTGAGTTTAGATCAGGGTTTTGGTAAAATGATCACTGTTGGAAAACTGATACGAGCTACTAAGTGCTTCTCCACCCTCTAGCAAACACCTGAAGTTGGTTCATGGACTTCCTAACTCTCATTCAGATATTGAAGCAGATGTTTGAGGGACTCCTGAAACAGTTCAGGAAAATAGTGACCAAAAATTGCCAAACGAAGCTAAAAGTGAAGGACTGTATCTCCTTGTATGAGCCTTCTTAGTATTTAAGAGAATCAGAGGAGCCCCTTCTCTTGGTCCCGTTGGCAGCCCAGGCATGGCTGATGGGGACACGGGAGAGGGCCTTCTCTGTGGCTGCTCCCAGGTTACGAAACGCTCTCCCTCGGGAGGTCAGAATGGCCCCTTCCCTTTTACCCTTCCACCAATAACTGAAGACTCATCTTTTTAGGCAGGTTTTAAACAATCATGATTGAGTCCCTGAGTGCCAGTTTTAAGTTAAGATAGTTTTTAATGTTTACCTGCTTCAATTGTATTTTAATTAGGGTATAGTTTAATTGTTTTTTTAATATTTAACTTAATGTTTTTCATTGTTCTTTTTCATATTGTGAGCCGCTTTGGGTCCCTTTATTGGGAGAAAGGTGGCCTATAAATAAAACAAACAAACAGATAAATAAAATCAGTTTTATTGTTTTGCTGTTACAATTTAATTGCATTTATTTGATTTATTATCCCCCCCTTCCTCCAGCCAGCACAATATTTTTGAGTAAATAAGGGAAGAGTTTCATTGCTGTATTTTTACCTTTTGTGTCAGGCATTTGGTGAGCAATAAGAACTGCTGGATCATTTTTAGGACTGCAACTGCCTCTATTTGCTACTGCAATTCTTATATTATGGTCTGCTATTGTTTTGCTCCAACTAATAGAGCTACGTAGTGCTCTATCAGTGACTTTATTGTGTTTTAATGTTCCAGTGCTATTGCATATTTGTATTCTGGGCATGTAGTTTTAAAATTCAGTAATTAAAAGATTAACCTTTTTGCTAGATATCAGCTGTTTGTTTTGTCCCTGGCGTTTTTCAAAAAGGTCACACCTTTTTGTCAAGAACCTGGGTTTCACAAAGGGAAGGTTGTATGGATTCCAACAACAAAAAGGGAATGATTCCTAATTTAAAATGTGCATTTCTTTTTAGCCAGAAGCCATTTCTGCTTTCACATCTGATCCTGCACTGCTTTCATTCACTGACTACTTTTGCAAACCGGCTGCAAATATGGGGCAAGTACGTTGTTGGGGTAAAACCTAGCCGGAAAAATGGGGAGGGGGGTTGTATTTTTGTGGTGGTGCTGATGACACTGGAAACAGTGGTGTTTTTCGCTTTTTAAAATGGCTTGATATTCTTCTAAATAGCAAAATAAGCATAACTGAAGCTAGGAATATTGAGAATTATTGAAAGAAATCAATATACAAGAGAAAATAACTTGTCATTTACTGGTACAGTACAGGGCACCTTATATTTATGTTCCAGCAAACTGATTGAATGGATGGATGCGTGATGGGCACATGAAGATATTTCATGAGCCCCGTTTTCAGACTACCAAGCTGCTCAATAGCTGCAGATTGGGCATGCTGTAGAAATACTTGCTTCAGCTGTGAAAAAAGAAAAAAAGGTTTTTTCCTGGCTTATATTTTGGTTTCCTAGCCTTGAGCTATTCTATCACTGCTTATGTCTAAAAGTTTTAAGTTAGGACTCTCCTTGCTGTTCTAGTTTAGGCTGAAATAGAAGGGAAGTTTACATTGGAAGCAAGGCATTGGGAAGATCAGGAGTTACAGCATCCTGGTCTGATTTAATTGAAATTGATGTGTGGGTGACTAGATGTGTGTATGAGTTGACCGTATTTTTACACAAGGTTAACAAAGTTGAATAGTATAGACAATATGCAGTAGATGCCATTCATCATTTGGTAAGTTAACCTCTTTCTTTCAGAAACAGGAGGTGTTTGACCTGTTCTCCTCTATCCTGTATGAGTGTGTGACTCAGGAGAACCCTGAGATGCTGCCAGCTTACATAGCAATTGATCAGGTGAATGACATTATATATATATATTTCCCTCCCTGGACAACTCAACTATGTTTGCGTATGGAACTGCTTTTCCAGATGTGTTTTTCCACTAAAAAGCGCACCCACACTGTGATGCCTTTGAACTGCTGGAATAACTTTAATTATCTGGCTATGGTGCCTGAGGTTTGATTCCTCACTGTGCCTCCTTGAAAGGGGCTCAGTTAGAAATGTAACATTTCTAAAATTTCCATTTTCCTCCGGAAAAAAATGAGGGAAGTTTTTTTCCCCCAGAAAAAGTGGAATTTTTCTGAAATTTTACATCTCTGGATTGGACTTGATGATCCATAGGGTCCTTTCCAGCTCTGCAGGTTTGAGTATGCATTGGGATGCTGAAAGACATCAATGTGTTTTAATCTATGTTTTGGAAGATTTGCTGCTTGGGGTGAGGTTAGGCAGTTTTTATAAGAAATAGCAACTCGCAGGGATATTTCCCTATATTCCTTCTGTAGTTCAGCAATATATTTCCTATTATCATCTTGATATCCTACTTTCCGTCCATATTTGTTGCTATCTTTCATCACACCAATTCTCACTGTAAATTAATAACCTCCAGAAAGTATTGCTGTTAACAGTCCTGGTCAGGTCTTGCAAATGAAAGAACAACTTGTTCAGGAGGGTAAAGCTCTGTTAATGAGTCTAGATCCCCAGCAAGGTCACCCAAGGTTGGAGCCTTGTAAAAGTAAGATGCATCTACCTTTTCAGATCTAACTATCATAGCAGCACAAAAGAACCATAGTTCCAATGGTGATGAGGAGGAGAAACCCCGGGAGGGCAGCTTCTTGGCAGCAGTAGCAGAAGGTGATAGTGGTAGAGGACCTTTTCATAGGCAGTGGCTGTGACACTCACGATAACTCTTGTTAGTACTGCGCAGAAGGCGGCAACTGTAAAGCACTTCTGAATGCTCCACGTCTCGAAAACTCTACGATGAGTCTATATATACAGGGCTTTTATACAGAAATTATCTATAGGTACAGGTCTGGTTTCCTGAGTTGTTCCCCATTAGATGAGTGGGTCAATACATTTCTTAGATCCGCCTAGAGTCTGTGTGGAATGGAAGCTGTCTACACATCTGGAAATTGGGAAAGGCTATTATAGGAAAAATGTTCCTCTTTTCCCGAGTTCATTCTTATCTGTTTTCTTTTCTGCCAGGCTGTGAGAAGACTAGAAAAAATGGAAATGACTGAGACGTTTGACTTATGGCAAATAAAGCTGGTTCTAGAATTTTTTAATTCCAGAAGCCACCAGGAGAGAATGAGGAAAAATGCTCACCCCGGGATCTTCATGAACTCAGAATTTTTACCAGTGATGAAGTGTTCCATTGATAATACCTTGGATCGGTGGCTACAAGGTAAAACCAAGAGCTGTTTAGCACTAGACGTGTTCTGTTGTGTTGACACTAGACTTCTCTGCCTGTGTGCACTAAAAACCAAGCAGCCGTTCTAATTCCTAAACCATGCCCGTTCCAACTGTTGAATAATTTTGGAAGGGCTAAGAGATTGTTCAGTAGAATATTGGAGGGGAGTTCTTGACTAGATGGAGGCAAGTAGGCACACACACGACTACAGAACTTGCAAGCTTGCCTTTGGTTTCTCTCTTCTTGATTTTGCAGAGGAGAAAGAGGCAACAGGCCTGCAAGTGTGTGGCTGGACAAATGGATGTGCACGGTCCCCCTTTGGACTGTGAACCTGCTCATGGTCATAATGCAAACTGTTGACAAGTTTCAACTAAAGCAATGCAAACCTTGACGTGAAATAGATTCCCCATCCCTGATCTAGCAATATTATTCACCCATTAAATGAAGATACCTTATCCTTTTAGAGCTACCTCATTTCAGCATGGCCACCCTTATGTTGCCAAAATGGCACCATCTACACTAAAAAAAGAAGAGGTATCAACAAGTTTAGAAGAACTCCAAGCCTTGCAGAGATACTGCTCACAGAAACAGTTCGAAAATAAAGGAGAGGACAAAAAAAGGCCTGCCCAATGAGAATTGATCACATTCATGGCCATGAAATGCTGGCTGACTATTGAGAGTGGAAGTAGGAATCCACTGTATGTCTCGGTAACAGAGTATTCTGGAGGAGGTTATGGCTAGTTTGCAACATTTTGTTGCAGGTCCCAGTTGGGTTGTCTCCATGTGAACTTCATCTCTCTTGTGTATTGCAGCTGGAGGTGATGTCTGCTTGCACTCCTATTTAAGTGGACATCCCACTGACGAATCTCAACTAAGTATGCTGGCCTGCTTCCTCGTCTATCATTCCGTCCCTACTCCAGGACAGTTGTTAGCTGGAGGCCTGGAAGGTAAAATTAAAAATCAATATTGTTTGGGGTTTCTTTTAAAGCCTGAAAGCAGTTAGAAATCTGATGGCTTCTAAATCCTGCCCTACTGAAACAGTTGCCCCATCTCCCCCTGATCATTTAGGAGCCCAACAGGTTGAGTGGCACTAAATTCAGACCTTTTGTACATTTGGGTGATTGTTAGTCATCGACTGCTAGTTAGTTGCTTATCCAGCCCAATTCAAGGCGTTGGTTTTAACCTTTAAAGCCCCTGAACAGCTTGTGACCTAGTTATCGAAGGGATCTCCTGTCTTACTATGAGCCTGTTTGGACATTAAGATCTCCAGGAGTCCTCTTCAAAACAAGAGCTTCTGATGCCTACCCAACAAGCACATGGGAGAGGACCTCCTTTGTGACTCCCAGACTATAGAAGGCACTTGGTTCTGAGCTGTGATCCGCTTCTACTCCAGTTTTTAAAAGGGACTAAGAACACATCTGTTTGACTGACATATGGCATTTAATCTGCACTGAAGTGATTTTTAAAAATGGTATCCTTTGTTGATTTTAATGGTTTTACTGTGGGGTTGATTTACATGATTTTATGACTTTTTAACTCCATGCGGTTTTCTCTGTTTCTATTCCTTCAAGTTTTTGAGGTGCCTGAGGGTTCTCTTTTTGGTGGAATGTTTAGAGTATAAATGGAAAATAATAATAAAAAAAACAAGATAAAGAGAATGATATCATGGCAACCTACAGATACAGTGGGATGGTTGGGCAGCTATATATATTATGAATTATACAGAAAAAACAGAAGTGTGCTAAACTGGAGAATTCCTGCTTCCATAGCATTTTGGTATCTGAATTCTGTTGAGACCTGTGACCATTTCCTCCTTTTATTCTTCTAGGGAAAACAAGCTTTTCTGAATTGCTGCTGAAATTCAAACCACTGAAAATGCCAGTCCGTGCATTACTAAGACTTGCTCCTCTGATGCTGGGAAATCCACAAGCCATGGTTTTGTGAAATTAATATAGTGATTTTGACCTAAGCAAGTGACCAAGTGCCAGTACAAAGACAGTATTTGAAAGAAGCATAAATGAAGTCAGTTTTGCTTCCAAGTTCACAGACTTGCGTCAAATGAATTTTCCATTCCTTTTTATGTTGTAAGAATCATAAAGAGAGGTATATATATTGTAGGATGGTCAACATACCTGTGCACACTGATACATTTACTTTTTTGTAAATAAAGTTTGTTTGCAAATAAAAAGCCAAGCTTTTGTGAATGATTTTCGATCATTTCTTTGTTGTTGTTTAGTCATTAAGTCATGTCCAACTCTTCGTGACCCCATGGACCAGAGCACGCCAGGCCCTCCTGTCTTCCACTGCCTCTCGGAGTTGGGTCAAATTCATGTTAGTAGCGTTGATGACACTGTCCAACCATCTCGTCCTCTGTCGTCCCCTTCTCCTCTTGCCTTCACATTTTCCCAACATCAGGATCTTTTCCAGGGAGTCTTCTCTTCTCATGAGATGGCCAAAGTATTGGAGCCTCAGCTTCAGGATCTGTCCTTCCAGTGAGCACTCGGTTGATTTCATTCAGAATGGATAGGCTTGATCTCCTCCAGCACCACAATTCAAAAGCATCAACAACAACATTCTTGCCACCTCATCTTGATGTCTTCTGCTTCTGTGAAGTCCCTACCATGTTTGTCCTTTATCATGTCCAGCTTTGCACAAAATGTTCATTTAATAGCTCCCATTTTCTTGAACAGATCTATGGCCCTCTTGTCTCTCCTTGTTATTCTTTGAAAGCCTGCATTCAATTTTCTGTAACTTTCCCTATCTCCCTTGCATTTTGTTTCCCTTCTCCTCTCTGCTAATTTTAAGGCCTCGTTGGACAGCCACTTTGCTTTCTTGCATGTCCTTTTCTTTGGGATGGTTTTTGTTGCTGCCTCCTGT